GTTTATAAAGCTCTGTGGGCCATTGGAGACACTTAAATCACAATATTGATAGCAAATTCAAGCCCTAATGATGGCCTCTGCCCATTAGTATTTACTAGCAGTGGGAGGAATAAATGGATAGAGGGAGTGCAGAAACTGTGGGTAGTGTAGGAAGAGGGAAATAATACAAAAGGGAGGAGCTAATTGAAATATAAATGCATTAGTGGTAGACGAATATTGGGAGAGGCGTAGGAAGTGAGTAAACATATGCAAGAAAAAAAATTCAGTGGATTATAATCACAAAGACACATTTCTTGTGTTTATGTGACTGGGCCCAGTGCTCTTATATAACCCAAAGCCCGCTGGGCTGACAGTGACAAACATTGATTCTATCCTCTCTCTCTCTTTTTTTTTTAAGCTGAGGGCTCACACAAACACATGGAAACAGAGCAGAGAAATAGAGAGGAAGGCATGAAGGGGACAGAGGAAATGGGGAAAGTGAAGAAACTTAACCCCAGTGGCCTCTCTTCAACGATTCTATTCATTTCCCTTAAATGCTGACAACATTAAGCAGTGAAGGGCTCTGCAGACCAATGGGACTGCTCTGAAACTGGGTTTTGAGTTCACAGCTTCCTGTGTGGTTCGCAAGCCACTGCCAAGGCCCCTGATTACTCATTGTTGTATAAAAACGTACGATAGAAAATGATAAGTCCACAGTCAAACAGGATATTTTGACATCTTGCAGAATTATACTTACCAAGAGAAATCAAAAGTACCAAAGTTTGCCGATGAAGCTTATATTGCGTTACCATATTCAGCTCTTTGTGGAGCTGCTGGAGGACAGTATCGCTTTAACTTGGTCTTTTTCTCAAGTAGTCTTCACACGAAGTCTGGTGTGAGACAGAGGAGTTGTTGAAAAGACTTCAGGACCACGGACAGCGCCTCTTCTCGGCCGATAAGAGCGCAGGTAACTTTCCTCTTCGTGTCTGAAAATCCACGCCAAGAACTCTTAGAAAAGACGCGTTTCTGATTTACACATTCAAAAAGGGTTCTTCTTGGATTTTAATCGTTATTTTGAGGCGCTCATCTAATAACCGAAGCGTTCATATAGCCCTTAATGCGCAATTCTCATTTACACAGTAAGAACTAAGTTCATCATTTCCTCGACTCGGGGAAATAAACAAGTCCGTGATGTGAGACGACTACATGAGTGATCCCACAGTTTCTTCGCGCATAACTGCTGTCACTGAGTACGGACCCATCCAGAAACACCGCGGAAATCTTTCTAGAAACAGGCGGATAGCATCTGGAACCTGTGGATTCTCAAAAGCCGACGTACTCACTTATTGTTGCGAGATCTGAAGTCCTGATTACACACATGCAGAAAAAAGCATCGAGGCCAGTTCTCTCATTTCACCCCTCAAAGAATAAGCCCACTGACTGTCAGAAATCTGTTTCCTCCATTAGAGATGACTGATGACATTTCCCAGCCGCGGCTCAATGTCTTTGTTTTTCAGCAGTCACTTAGCGCTGGCAGGGGCAGAGGGTTTGATACGCATGCGTGAGTCACTCCCTCCTACGCTACAGTGTGCAGGACCACATTATTGTCACTTGGGTAGGCCTAACCAACTCAGCCGGTAAGCTTGTTTGCATTTGCTTAAATATTGACTAAACAAAGCTCAGCGTGCAGAAACACCGCGTGCACACGTAGAAACCAAAAAAATGCAAATCAGTCCTAAGAATGAACATTATATGAAGGAATAAGATGACACAAGGCTGTCTTTGTCATGTGTTACATAAGCTTGTTTAGAAGCTGGAAGTAGAGTTTCTTCTTAAGACATTTCATTAGTTACACATCAGTACCTGCATTTCCTGCCCCCGCCCAACCAGTGAAGAAGTCTCACAAAGATTTTTATATGTCCTAATACTGTGTCATTGTTTTTTTGTTTTTTGTCTTTTAAAGTGAAAGATCTTGGATCAAAACAATGCTGATTTCTTGGTCAGTGTTCCAGAGTGAAAGATTTTGTTCCAAAGTGTACAGAAGTACCTAACAAACAGCTTAACCAACGTCAAGGTGATAAATGTGTGCCTATTATATAAATATAAGTCTATGTAGGTCTGTCACCACATCAAACTTTATTTTCATGGCTTTTTATTCTAAAGAAAATGCAGTGATTTTCAAGACTGACAATGCTAAAAAATGAAGTTTAAAACCGAGTCAGTAGGATGCAGTGATTCACTCGATTCAGGCAGGGAAAAAACAGTCCATCACACCACCTGCACCAGAGAGAGTACGCAAGTACCTGCTTAAAAATTTCACTTTTTTCTATCAATAAAAACCAGCAGGGATTTGACTCAACTGTAAAAACTAAAAGAGGTGAGAAGGAGACAAGGATAAACATGTTTTCCCGCTCTGCAGACCTGAATAACATCTAATATTAATACCAACAGACTTGCCTGATGGATGTATAAAGTGCTTTCTGTTGGGCAACCTATTGCAAACTTTAATATACTGCACATGTATTATCTTAAGCATAAAAGTGCAAACAGCTGGTTAATGCTTACCAAAAAAACCTCTTACAAATTGCATTACTAATCCAGCCATTGTAATTAGAATTAGAAAAAGATTTATACATCTTGTTTATTTGTTTATTCTTTATTTCTTTCAGGGACTATGTAAAAAAATACATTAACATATTTGCATAAAGGGAAAACATTTTTGTACCAGATTTAGATTAGTAGCTAATTTCCATCTGCAGTCCCTGGGCAGTTAAAAAAAAAACTGTAAGATACAATTAAAAATCAATCAGCAAAGATACACACATACAGACACTCAGTTACTCACATATATGGACACACACACACACACACACACCATAACAAATGGTAAACAAGTATCAAAATTGGCAGTCACTGAAATCACCAGACATGCTTCCTCTGTGCTTTGGTACACACGAAGGAAACCAAATCCTCTGAAGCACTGACCGAGACAACGGGGTTGCTATGACGTTAAAAGAAAAGCACTGAGATAAATCTATGATACAGCACAGTCTGAAAGAGCCATAATAATCTCACTGTGACATCACAGTATTTAATTTTGCAGCCACTCCATCTGGAACAATAAGAAGATTACCACCAAAGGAAAATAGAAATCAAGGGCTTGAGAATGTTAACGTCATTATAATGTTGTACTTTATTCTTTTTTAGATTTATGTTAACAGCCACGCTATTAAATAACTACACCTTTAGTCGAACTCTGAAACAGTCAGGGAGTGAATCAGCCGCTGTGGGGCTGTGATTCTCACTGGTAAAGATTTTAATGTAGAAAGCAGAGAGGCAGCTGAGTGTACTCCTGTGTTGCTGTCAGCATTAACAGTAGGCTGGCTCATTGAGGAGCAGACTTAATATGGCAGGCCCGGTTGAACCATATCCTGCAGACAGGGAAACCATAGCAACAGTAATGCACTGCCATGGCGACTACAGGAGGTTCGCTTAGACAGCCTCAGAGTCAGGATGACAATAGAAAGCCTAAAAGGGAACTCTCTTTTATTTAATTATTTTCTTACAAAAAGCATTTGAAAGATGGGGGCAAATAAGGCAAGTGAGTATGTTTAGGCAGGGGCTTGATGTGGAATCAACAAAAAGATTTCAGGAAATTCTCCCACATTGTTCCCTACAATGGCACAGAGTTAGGAGGAAATAATTGCAGCGTTAATAGCCCTAATTGAAACGCCAGGTCTGTAAAAGTCACTTTGTTTCGCTGCTCTGAAAACCTTCTGATAATTTGCCCACGACTTCTTTAACAATTCAAAGCATGCCTGATTGTTTTTTCCTCTTTTTGCTGGGGCCTTCTGAGAGCTTTCATCATTTAAAGGCTGAGCTTCAGGTGTGAGGTGCTAAGCTTATAAGAGTAGTTACAGAATTGAAAAAAGCAGGTGGAGTTGTGCAGAGTGAGTAAGTGGTCGGGAGTCAAGTGCGGAGGAGGTCTGTCCAGAGACTGAGCAAAAGCAGAAGAAAAATGTCCAGCAGTAGCCCAGGTAACCGTGTGCAGCCACATGAGGTATGACAGACTGACAGAGAGGAGAAATCTTGATTATAACAATGGATTTTGCAATCAGAAGGGTTTTGCAGAAAAATGTCAGCCATAGAGAGGAAACACGTTTTCATAATGAAAGAATACATAATGAGTCTTTTTTTCTCTATGTTCAGACCAAAGACGAGGCAGTACCAGCTCCAAATCAATAACTCAAAAAGACAGTCATGTACGTGCACTGACATCATTAACCAACAGCCCGCACAAGGGAATGAACGTGCAAATGAGTGGGTTTGAGAGTACATGTGCATGCTCATGTTTGTACGATAATTATGCCTCTTTGTGCATGTGTGTGCGTGCAGGCATCCTCGACGATTCACTGTACAGAGCAGATTTCTAGGGATTTGGAAGGATTTCAAGATTATACCGTGATTACAGCAGACAGCCATGGATCACACATGCCAGAAATTCTGATGTATATCTAATGTGCTCCTTGCTAGAAAAGCCTCTTAATACTGCAGTTTGAAATCACTCATGTGTCATTTCTATTCATTCTCAGTGTGAGACTATATCTGTATATTTCACATGCTATCACTGTGTTGAAAATTACCTTTAGTTTAGTTTATTCTGACGATTATTCTGGCCAGTGAAACGAAGAAAGGTGTAACAATCCTCACAGTACACTCAGTATGAAGTAATCTAAACACTTAGCATTTGGTTTTTAAACAGACATGCAAAGTTATGTACTTCTCTTCATCTACACAATGGATTCCACACATTTACTCCTGACACTGTAAGCCTGTGATATTTTACATCATTCCTCACTGCTGGCTTGCTAAACATTAGGCTTCCTCTCAGGTCATGATGATTTGGTCTTATTTGGAACAAGTTTTGAATGTTGTTTGTTTGCTGCTTTATACATTATTTGTGGACGTTTGAAGTCAACCTATTTCAATTTGAATTTTATGGTTCTTTTGAAGTGGGCGCATGTATGATCCTTGTTGTTCCTGTGACTGTACTGGTTGTTCAGAATGTATTTGATTTTCTAGAAAAATACAAAACTAAAAGGAAAAAAATCCAAGTTGCATAAATTTGTGTGCATTTTGGTAGTTTTTTACCAAATCGCTGTGGGAAGATGGGATAAAATAACAATTTTGAGATCAGACACATTACTCTATGCATATGGGCACACAGATACTTACACAATCATCACACAAAGCCATTCATCCTAAAAATAACCCATGTTTTCATCTAACCAACTAGAGCAAGCCTAATGTAGTAAATAACCACAAAGATTTACACACTCAGAGCTGCCCAGTAAGTTGTTTTATGTTGCCATGTCCCACTGCGAGGTACTCTGGACACAAATGCAAAATCAGTGGCACCAGAGCCAATCTAATTGATAAGGCATGAAATGTCATTGAGTCACTGAACTACACCTCACATGTGTACACACACATACACAGAGCCACAGGGCAATGCCAGATTCAACCAGGGGGACTTGGCACAGACCTCTAAGCTAACACTGATAGTAAGTGAAGACTTGTTCCATCTGACCTTCTGATTTGGCTCACAGCCCCCTGTAGGAATACTGACTTTCTATTATAAGACCCAGAACGCTATGCGTCAAATAAATCATTGAACCAGAAGAAGACAGCAGTTGTGCAACATAGACTTCTCTTTTTGGAGCAAAATCAAATCGGTGCCTTTCGAATTGTGCAGCTACGTTTAGTTCCACTCGGTTAATCTGCTGGTTACAGAGAAATCTCACTAGAACGACAGCTCAGGGCATAAAGTTCAGAACCTGTAAGTGTGCAAGAGAGAGAAGAGTTATTGTAGTTTAATATTACATATTCATGAAAAACACGCGGGTTGTCACCTCGACACGGCGGAGAAGCTGCTGAGATCAGGAAGTAGAACAGAAGCACCGGTGTCACCTTGTGTTAAATCAGCTGAGCTTTATTGTCTTAACTAGAATATGATAATGAGCACAATCTGTCTTAGAGACCAGTATTAACTCCTGACTAAGAAATTCTTTGGACAAGCTGACAGACTGTGTCATGCCACTCCTTGCAGCTGCAAATTACTTTTGTCTGGATCCACACATAATTGAAAGGAACTACGATGAATTGTTTTTACGAAGTGCACCAAAATGAAGACAGAGGTCACTTGTATCGTTACTCGAATAAAGCAACAATATTGTACAGAAATAGCCACTCAAGGTCTAACATGAAGGAGCACAAAAAAGGAAAAAACCTTGATCATTTGTCCACATTCAGATTGTTGTGCACTCAAATGTCATCAGTATCTGTTTAGCTTGTTGTATTTTCTATTGCAGGCTGCCTTTTTAGCTCTTGCTCTCCTGGAACATTAAGATCTTGAGTGCCTGGCGTCTGGCAGCCCAATAATGTGTCAGGGTTGTTGCTTTGGACAGTGTTACTCTTCTGGTCAGAAATATGACTCTCCAGTTTATAGCTATCAAGACCTCTGCTCTCTTCGGCTTGTTGGCTGTGACTGTGGCTAGCTGAAATACTGTCCCACCGCTGGCCATCGTTGGGGCTCAAACCATCTGTACTACCATAATTCTCACTTTCTCCCTGCTGTGTAGTGCTGCTGTCTGTTTGTGTGCAGCCTCTTGTCCCATCTTTCGACTTGCTGTCATGCTGCTGGCATCGTGTGATCTGGCCTAATGTGATTTGGAGCTCATTGAGGCGCTGTAATACATAGCGTCTCTTCAGTTCCAGCAGGATTGTTCCATTACGACTCAGGCTTGGCATGTCTGTTGGAGTTGCCCTCTGCAGAAGAATAGATCACAGAGCATGTATTGTAAATGATGTGCCATAAAGATATGACTGAGTTCGTGCACATAGTCTCGAGCAATAATGCAAATTCAGACACAGATCACGTTCATGCATACTGATTTACGCATTTCTCTTTTAAGTCAAGGCTGAACATCATCATGAATATCATAGATTAAAACGAGTTATCACCATTCAATCACTGCAATGTGCCATTTATATGTATGAAATGCAGTAATAGCAGATACTGGCAAAATCAAACGAGATCATTTCACAACGCTGAAGTGAAACTTGGATGAAATCAAAACAGAAAGACATCATTTAAAAGCCCTTCACAACACAATTAAATTAACACAGAGATTCATGTTTTGGATTATGTAATTATATGTGCAGTATATAATGTTCCAGCTAATTACTGCAGAATGGTTTCCAGCGCTGTTCTCTCTTTCCTTTAGCCATGTGCTCACATCAGCTCTCTTCTGTAGTTGCGTGCTCAGCAGCAAGAACGACTCATTCATGCGATCAATTTCTTCCTCTATACATGACATCTGGAAGAGAAATAATGGTTGACGGTTCACTTAAATTAAAATTCTGTTTCAGTTTTTATATTTTTACCTGCACTGGTGTCCCCTTTGGTGGTAAACCTACAACAAAACAAAGAAAAAGAATAAAAATGTGTGTCTGGAATCTGTAGAATGGAAAATACAACAAAAAAAACACCAAACAATATGTGAATATATGAAGCACAAAAACCACCCAATGCACTTCAGCCCTCAATATCATGGTTTTATGGAAACCTTGAACTCTGTGCACCAGGACACTGAAACAAAAGTCTTTTAGGTGCTTAACAGCAAAAACAAAACAGAAAATCTCTCCAAGACTTCATATAATACTTTAATGATGCTTTTATGTTTTAAGTGGCAAAAATGAAATGAACAACATCTGCATGAAATCACAGATGGGCTTGTTCATCAACTTTTAGGGCTGGAATATTATTATGGTCATTGTTTCGCAAGACCGCTTGCTGATGTCACTGAGGCTTCATGGTCAAAAGCAGAAGTTTAAATGATCAAATCAGTCCATGCATAAGAAAATAGTACAAGACTGCAACAAATGTCCACAGAATTTCAGCTGATCAACACATGATGATGTTTTGTTCGCAGCTCCTTATACATTTTCCTATACTGACAACAAATGCCACAACTGTAATTTTTTAAATAAATTAATTTTGCAACCTTTAGCATATGAACTATTTCATTTATGAAACTGGTGAAGGTCTATTTTCCCTTTACTTTTAGATAGTAGCTTTGCAAAGACCCCTTAATGTGATATTTATTGTTTTACAGCAATAAATACACCGTGAAAATCCTGTGAGTATTTTATGTAATAGTAATTCTTTTTGAATTACTATTACAATCAACAGTTGTCTTACCTTTGTCTGTGGTCTGAGCTGGAGTATGTTTGAGTTCAGAAATGAGCTGCTCCAGCTGGAAATATTTGTATTTCTTGAGTCTGAATTGGCAAAAAGGGAGAAATATTACATATTGTAATATAAATATTTTGCTGAAATGACAAACCTCATTTATTCTGCTGTAATCGTTATCTGTCTCACCAACCTGCTAGCTAATAGGTGCTCAGTGAAGCGGGCTTCAGTGGGAACTCTAATGTTGAGAAATTCCTCAACTAATGTGTTATTCCGCCCCTTCAAAGCATCGAAATTGGACTGTTAAAAGAAGGCATAAAATGTTATCTGCCTCCATTTTTATACTATGAGAATGATGAGTGAGGTTTAAAGAGCACTTACACACCTCTGCTGTGCTCCATTTGAAAGAAACATTGAACAACTGAAGGCTTAGAGCTGAAATGGCCTCATGGAGTGCTTGCATAAAGCTCTGGGCTTTGGATCCTGGATTAAAAAATACATATACAAATCTATATATCAGTGTTTTTAAAGAAGATTACATACTTTGTGCTTTCAAAGTTAATTGCCAGGGATATTACTCTGTACTATATGACAGTTGCCAAACGAGGACACGAGACTGTCCTTCAGAACTGTCTTCTATTGGTTTTTCTCTGATTACCAGATGCTATGTGGGCCATTGACTGCAGGATGACAGAGATGAAATGTCCCACGTGCTGAAGCTTTGCCTCTGACAGATACAGGATTTGATTGGTCGCATCAAAATAAAAGTCCCTGGAGCAGTGTGACAGTAGACCCCCATTAGAGGAAGATGGAGCGAATGGAATCGACTTGGCCAGCAGGAGAAGAGCACTGGGGAACATGGGGCAGTTTTCAAGCAATTGCATCACCTGACAACCAAACAAAAAAATGGCAGAGTCCTGTGGGGAGAGGTTGTCCAGTGCAGTCGGGATGAGCTGCCCATCATAATTCCCCTTTGCAGAATTATCTGCAACTCCTAAAAAGGAAAAAAAAAAAAGAGATAATTTTAGAACTTGGTATATGTTGCATTGATCAAATATTATGTGTGTTTTAGAGATCTCACTATAATGTTTCTGTACCATTGCTAAAATATTGTTTTGACTCATCCATGGTGAGATTTTGTAAAGATTGCTGGATCTCCTGCAGGGTCTTGAATAGAGGTGATATCATGATAAGCTTGGACAGGTCATGATCACTTAAAGAAGGAGCCGTGCTCTGTATATGGTCTAGGACACAGAGAAATAACATTAGCAGAACACACTATAAACTGACCAGGCATAGGATTATGGACACCTGGTATCTGGATCAGATGTTAGTAACACATCTGTTATGTCCTGTAAGTTGTTTGTCCAACACAACCCAAAGATGCTTGATGCCGCTGTTGACTTGCCTCCCATAGTGCATCCTGCTGCCAGGTGTTCCCCTGGTAAGTGATGCACATATACACGGCCATCATGTTAAAGAAAATATGATTAATCAGACCAGGCCACCTTCTTCCATTGATCGTGGTCCAGTTCTGATACTCGCGTGCCCATCGTTGGAGCTTTCAGTAGTGACAGAGGCATGGGTACCCTGACTGGTCTGCAACTGTGCAGCCCCACACAAAACAAACTGCGACGCCTGTGTAGTCTGACACCCTTCTGTCAGCATAAACTATCTTGACAATCTGAGCTACAGTAGCTAATCTCTTTTGTGATAACATGGGCCAGCCTTCCCTCCCCTTGTCCATCAGCGAGCCTTGGCTGCCCATGACCTTGTCACTGGTTCACCACAGTTCCTTCCTTCCCCCACAAGATCTGCAGTTTTGGAGATGCTCCAGAGAACGCATTCGTCTAGCCATCACAATCTGACACTTGACAGACTTGCTCAAATCCTTTTGCCTGCCCATTTTCCTGCTTCAAACACATCAACAAAATGTTCATTTGCTCCCATATCCCACCCACTAACAGGTGACATGATAAAGAGAAATAATCACTTCACCTCTTGGTGTTCATAATATTATGCCTGATCAGTGTAATGTTCTGATATTATTGTACATGCATACAAAGTAGTGATTTATTCCTTACCGGGCTCGTGTGGAAGAGCTCCTGCTTTGGTCACATTCACTGATGAAAACTGTGGATCATTGAGTGAGGAATTTACTCTCTACTTTATATCATAAATACACAATACAGAAAGAATGCCACTGCAGTACCTGCATCAAACACATGTTAGTGTCATTGGGTTGCATGTATCCAGCTTGCGCCTCACACTCTCTGGTATCGTGATGACCTGTGTGACAGTACAGGGGACCAGACAAATCCTGGTTCTGCCAAGCGTCTCCTGTCAGCCTGCATAAGAGAGTTTCCACTGACCTGACCAGAGCTCCCAGCAATGACATGCAGGCCTCAACTTGAATGATGGAGATGTTCAGTTACATACAAAAAAAAATTAAATTGTGACATAAATTTCCATTTCTGTTAATGCACAACAAGAAACAGCCAGCATGCTTCTGTGTGATGGTCCACAAAACACAATACAAACCACATATTATCATCTTTACACTTTGGTGTTTTATGCTAAGCTAAAGTAATTGTCTGTAACTTTACAGCTATGATACATGCATGTGGTTCTCAACAAGAAATGAAGAATTCACATTTCCCAGACTGACTAAATATCCCTTTAATGATCTATCTTATTATTAGAGACGGTCATTCATCTTCAGTAGAAGACATTACTCTCATCCTCATGATCATCATCATTTATTTTTACCTTGTGTATGTCTCTCCCCCACACTGCTGCCTGATGGTTCATCCTTCATTGTTTTATGAACTAATATCTCTTTAAGGAGGCTCATTTTTTTATGATCCATATTCTCCAAGGCATTCTGAAAGAAGGATAAAGAATTTTTCTTCTGTTTCCTTGAGGGGAACAAGATTGCATTATTATGTATGTGTTATGTATGGACAAGCAAGTCCATAAGTTGTTCTTATTAATGGTTCATAACTCACCTATAAAGTGTGGTAAGTGATTTACTCATCATTAATAAACAAAACAAAACAACAACAAAAAAACATTAACTGAAACTTTAAATAAATGACTTCAACTGTTTATGAGAAGGAGCACTTCTTGGATTCAAACCGCTTCTCTTTGAGGTGCTGGTTTGATGGTAAACAAATAATAAAAAGGAGTTGGGGTATCAGTGAGAGCAGCAATGCAATGAGGCACCATTAATCAGTGTAAGGGGGTCTCACATGCTAGAGGATAAAATGGGACACAGCCAGACTCCCAGCAAACATGGTTGCCTAGAGCATGGGTATGAAGTGTAAGGGCCAGAATATAAAATTAGTTTGACATTCCAGGTGTAAAGGATCCTATAAGAGTAGTCATTGTAAACATTGCTCAAATGTACTGCAGACATTAATTTGATTTCACCTCTTAAAAGGAGTTTCTATTAATCATTTTATTAATCAAAAAAACGTATTTGCCATCTGCAGGCTGTAGTGTCCCAGCTGCAAGGTTTTTTATTTTATTTTATTTTATTTTATTAATGGTAGAACAAAAAGACTATTTAACTACTCTCTGAACTGTGTGAGGAGACAACCACACAGATATGGAGAGAACATGGAAAATATGGAAACTCCGGATGTCATGAGTCGCTGTGTGGCAGGCAGGAGTTGGACCCAAAATGCAGGCACTCAGGCATGAGGTTTAAACACAAAAAACTCAGCTTTATTTGCTGGCAGGGGAAAGTCATTAAAAAAGCAAACTAAACTGGAAACTCATAAACAAAACTCACAGTGAGACAACGGGAGATCCACACAGCATGAGGGACGACACGACAGTGACCGAGAGAAACACGGGGTTTAAATACACTGGGAAGTAACGAGGGGAATGAGACACAGAAGGAGAGCACAGCTGGGAGAAATCCGAACTGACGAGACAAGGAAGCGTAAACTGAACACACTGAGATAAGACAGAGACTTTCAAAGTAAAACAGGAAACACATAACACAGACTGAACAAAAGACACAGACTCACATGCAGGCACTACAACAGAGGGAACAGAGACGTGGGACCAGGGCAGACACAGACACTGACTGGACACGGGGATATAGCGGACAGGGGAGACAGCAACTAAGGATTACACAGAGTCAAACCATAAGACATGACTCTAACAAAGAAACCAAAGCATAGAAATGATAAATAATATATAAACTCAAAACCCTGGCTCAACGACCCAGGCATCCTAACACCGGATGGTGGATTTAAACCCAGTACTTTCTCCCTGTGAGCCAACAGTGCTAACCACTACATCGCCCCTTTGTCCTGTTTCTAAGCGCTTCCTATCGAACATTCACTGTTCGATGAATGAATTGGCAATGACTTGGGGTCAGTTATTTGTCCAAGGATGCTTTGGCATGCAGACTGAAGCAACCAGAGACCAATCCACCAATACATCAATCAACCGATCAAAATATGACCTGCCCTACCCTCAGGGCGACAGGCATCCCCACCTGATGGATGTTTTTTAGGTTTTGTACTAAACATGAACTGTGGTGGCAAGATAATTTATCCAACAGCTTTACTGGATTATTCCATGCATTATTTATTACAATATTAAAACTCACCTTGAATGATTCAGTGTGTTGACAGATGTTTCTATAAAACTCCTGTATGTCTTTGCGGTGCCGGGCCAGCTGTGAGGCTATATGGAGGTTCTGATCCTCCAGCTTGTCGTAAAGAGTCTTCACATTAAACTCCTCCAAATCACAGCACCCTGGCACTCCTCCTAAACAAGGCCAGTAAATGTCAACAATGGGAAAGATTGAAATGGCTTGAAATAATAACAGAAGGGCCTCATCATGACATCTTTAAGATCTGAGGAGATGATCTTGTGAAGCATGAACGCACATTGAAATTATAAGCTCAGTTTGGCTCCATAGTAATTTAGTTGAGTCGGTCTAGCTTTCTTTAGTGGTAACAGCACAAGCCATTACAGTATGATATAAGCCATTATTTTCTTTATCGTCAATCAGATGTGGAATAGGCTGTTAACTGCTAGCTGGTCATGCGTGATGGTTTCATAATGGCTAGGCCAATTGGCATTTAAACGCCCAATCAAGCTGCATGAATAATGTAATAAGCGTCAACTGAGAAACATTACCGTCACCTCCACTATCAGAGATTAGAAAGAAACAAGGCAAATGTAGTGAAAAGTCGACGAAAGGGAGCTGCCAAAGTTTGTTTTAGTGAAAGTTTTCTGGAAAACTTTTACTCTTTGGTTATTGGCCAAGTCGTCCAAGAGGTACAGAAAATTTCTTTAGTGAATTTGATAAAACATAGTTGCAGTAAGTCATAAAAGTAAACTTTAAATGCATTTCAGACTTAAATTTCATATACTGTGATACCATATTTAATTGAATACAAATTAGAGCATGTTTAGGCCAAAAAATTACTCTCCATCACAGTTACACATTTATTGCAATTGCTTGAAAACCCATAGATAGATAAAAAAAACAAAAAGCACTGGCACAGTATTAAACAAGGGGCTTACCTCCTTTTGAAATAGCAGGCTCCTCAGCTTCTGCTCCTTCTCCAACACCTCTACTACCAAGGAAATCACCTTGGTTTGGGACCACTAAGCTGAAAAACAAAGACTCGAATTTTGTTTATTTTCACTTGTTTAAAAGTGTTTTATGTATTTTTTAGAACACAACGTCAGCACTGCTGTCACACCAGTATACCTTTCTCTGCTGCATGCACACTCCACCGGACAGAAAGGCTCCCCGAGGCTGCGCCACTTTGGCTTTATCCTCCACTGGGAGACAAGCTTTGCTTTGCTAGGTCGCAAAACTAGTACTGTAGTGGTCAGAATTACGACCACAACCAAGAGCATACTAAGGATCCCTGCACACAGTCAGCATTGTGTCATGGTGAAAGCTAATTCATTACAATAATACCCCTGTAAACAGTTAGTCAGCAATACAAATACCCACCAGCAATCAATCCCCAGTCGGGCAGAAGGTTTAGTTTGTGTTTCTTGACAATCCCGTGCTTGACCAATTGTGCTGGGGTCATGGGTTGAAACACAGCAGCCCTGGGGCCACACTCTGTCCCCTCCTCACTGACTACCACTACCAGACTCCACTGTGGGACAACACTGTCAACAAACACGTACTTCCCCGTTTCAGAAAAAACATGGGCAAACCTGGCAATGGAAAGATGATGAAGAGGAATACAAATTAGAACATAAGATGATGATACTGTGACCACAGTTATATGAGGATATGTTACCTTGAGGAGTTAAAGTTTGTTTGCTTCATGAGTATCTGTAGATGCCTAAAGGCACCAAAGTCCCAGCTGGGGTTGCTGTTAAACAGGTGGTCTTTTTGATAAACTGGAAAGTGGCTGAGATGGCGGTCTAAGAGAATTCAGTTAGAAGTAAGAGGACAGTGGTTTAAAAAAAAAGAAAAAAAATCACACACTGTGATAAAACCATGGTAAAAGTAAAAACAGCTGTACCTGTGTGGTTGATGGTGAGATGAAAAATGAGCATGTCACCAGAGGAAAGACAGGCAATGGGGTTGGGGATTCGAGGTAAGACAGCCAGATCTGCTGTGTCTCTTCTATTTCTGGGTCTTGTTTTTAGGACTTCTATTGGCTCGGTGAAGAGATAGCATTGTGTCACAGATTGCACAGTTTTGTCAACCAATTAAAGCCAAAATGTTTACAGTTAATTGGTGGTAGATACAGAAAACAAACGGATTGCATGGCAAAAGAAAATATATCAATCAACATGTCAGCTCTAATCACCTGACAGAAACTGATTGATGACATCTTTTTGTGTGGGAATCCAACCAAACACTCCTTCAGAGTCAAACTGGACAAAGTGTGTTTTCCCAATATTCTTTAAATGGATATCTGGTCCTAAAATATTTGTTATTCTCTGAAAATAAAAGGAAATAACACAAACTAGAACACTAGAAAAGCGCATGTTATTTTGTATCTATTATGTTGGAGAGAAAACATAATGTAAGGAACAATTGTGCCATACTGTGTTTCTATTTTAACTATAGTTTTTCCAGTTGCTGATATTTCTCAGTTTTTATTTATATGTAGTGTTAAGTATGTGTTCCAATACACATTCACAGTAATGCCATGCTACACCTTGGTCACAATAATAAAAAAAATATCCTTAACTTGAGAAAAAGATATTTTTGTTGTTAGACAAATAACATGCACACTTACAGTACTGTGCAAAAGTCTTGAGACACCTTATTTCTTTATGTTTTATTAGGAAAATAGGTGCAGAGATTCAATTAAATTTTCAATTCAACTCAATTTTATATGCATGGCACCAAATCATAACATCAGTCACCTCAGTGGTAAGAAAGTTAAAGACCCTACAATAACAGTATGAAAAACCTCAACAATCAAACAACACCCTATGAGCAACCATTCAGGAAGGAAAAACTCCCTTTTAACAGGAGGAAACCTCCAGTTCAGGCAGGAGCATCCATCTGCTGCGATTGGTTGGGGGTGAAACATGTACAAACATTAATGGAAATACAGTATAAAGCTGCTTTTGGCTGCACCCTTGTTACAAGTGGGGTAGCTCTGCAAATTGCTTGATTTGGGACAGTTTTATGCTTTTCCTGACCCAACCACAAAGCCAGCTACCTTTCACTTGCCACTACACTACACTACATTACAGTAAATGGAACTTATATATACATTATTTAAGGCAAAAACGCAGTTTGTAGAATTCTAATGAACTTAAGTTGATGTTTGGCATGGCCACTTTTATTATTTTAGAACCTGAACTCTCTTCGGCAAGATTTCCTCTTATTAAGAGTTGTTCTCCAGGCTTCTTGAAGGACATTCAAAGTGTGACAGACATATGAACCACAAAAAAAAAAAAAAAAAAAAGTGTGTCTTTGAATGTCTTTTGTTCTTTTCTCTGTCAAAATTGTCCCACAGTGCCTCAGTAATGTTGAGGTCCAAGCTCTGGGAAGGAACGACACTGTGCCATCGTGTGGTTTTCCATCCACTTTACCGGTTATGCTTTTACTGCATTGGCAGTGTGTTTGGGATCATTGTCATGCTGAAAAGTGAAGCCGCTGCCAAACACACACTTTTCAGGTGGTACTGCATGGTGGATCAAAATGTGACAGTACTTTTCTGCATGGTTCTATCAATTTTGACAAGATTCCAAGAGCACAGGCTGTAATGCAGTCCCAAACCATGATACAGCCTCCAACATATGGGACCTGCTTTATACAGTTTGACAAAAATTTGACGACAGCTCCAGTTCTTGTACAATTTGGCATGTGCTTTTTCTTGCCGTTCCCTTCTTTGACTATGGTTTCTTGACAGACACCCTTCTGCTGAGACCATGTCTCATGAGACTTCGGTGAACAGCACATGGATCAACTGAAGTGCCACATGCATTTCTCGGGTCCTGTGTCAGAACTTTGTTGGATTTTTTCCTATTTCTAAAAGAAATGACTTGAAGATACTTCATATATGCTACAGAAAGTTGTTAGGCTTAGCCCTTCTTTGCTGGTCATCCACTTGGTTCAGTTTCCTCATTTTTAAGGACACAGTGCATACCCTGCTGTCATATGTCATGTTTTTAGCCAATAACTCCTTGGGAATTGGCATGTGGGTGCAAAAATTACTGTTTTATGCCTGTTAAACTGTTATCGTTGGGATCTTTCATAGTTTCAACCAAAGAAATAGGAAAACAATATATGTGTTTTTGTGACAGCCTGCGAATAACAAAGTGCCTAAAGATACAAAAAAAAAGGCAATGTTAAAATAAAACCCTGGAAAAACAGAAAACCTGGAGAACTCAAGCCAACTTTTAAAAATCACAAATCTGGCAAAATATAAAGAAACGAGGGGTGGCTCAAGATTTTTGCACAACACTGTATATATGATGAAACTCACAGAAAATGAAAAAACCTCTTGCTGGAATAACTTGGAATAACGAAATACTTTTTCTTTGATGGTGAGCAGACTTCAATATTTATCACTGTCACTTCATCATATGCAATGATATCACAAAATCTGCAGTTGCAACATTTTTTCACATCATGCTGAAACCTTGTTAAATGCTGTGCCAAGCTTTCTGCCTACTAATTGATGTAGCTAAACCCTACAGTGTGAGGAGTCGCTTGGCTGCGTCAGTACAGTTCTAATGTTGTATTTGTACTTGTTTTTCAAATATCCCTCCTCTCATTCCCGCACACATTTAGAGTAACTGATCACTAATTATAAGAGAAATAATTGAATTGGATAGCTGGATATCCTTGCAAGGTGTAGCTGATCAACAGTTGTCAGTGGCCCATGTTAACCTTCCATCACCTTTGCCCAGACCATGCTATGGCTTTCTTTGATGCTGAGCAGCAGGTGTCCATCTGGTGAAAGCTGAGCAGAGAGCTGAGGCAGTCTGGAAAGGCAGGATGTATTGCAAAGCTCCTCAGCAGACACGTATCGCTCACACTGGCAGCTGGGGTGCAGATAAGGCAAGAGACAGAAAGGCTACATATCAGGCTGTATACCAGCTAGAATCCTAATTCACTTCTTTATTAGATGTAGCTTTAGTAGTTTTTACAGAGCAACAGTAAATCGGACTCGGCTTACATGATTTGGTAAAGAAAAATGGTGATAAGGTGACTCACATGCCCATCTCTGCATCCAGAGTTCCTCCATGTGGTCCACAGGTGATACTGCAGGAGTGGAGGGACGGTGACACACACTCTCTGGATGCTGCCAAGCGCACCTCTCCTGTGGCACATCGTCTGTTCACCTGAAACAAACAAAAACTCAGACTTCCGAAAGGGCATACAAGGTTTTTGCAATATGTTGCATCATGTGTGATTGAACCTTCATTTACACCATAGTATAGTCTTCTATAGTCTTCTAGGCAAAACGTATTGCAAAGGGAGTGAGTCAAACTTCAAATCTTGACTGGATTTTTTTTTTTTTTTTTTTGGTTTAAAAAGTGGAAAGCTTTTCATGTGATTCATGAAAAGCTCTTTTCAACGTTAGACACATGAATGCTGTTTTGCAGGTGAGTCTACAGAGTTGCGCAGGAACAAAAAGAAAATTAGAAAATTTCACACTGTCAATATGTCTGTGAAGGTTCTCAGTCATCCAGGTCATCGTAGTCTAAGGAGCTTGGAAAGAAAAGCGTCTGGACTTCTTTGAGTTGCTTGAAGACGTTTCACCTCTCATCTGAGAACATTCAGAACTGAAGAAGAAGCTTCTCGGATGAGAGGTGAAACGTCTTCAAGCAACTCAAAGAAGTCCAGACGCTTTTCTTTCCAAGCTCCTTAGACTTCACGCTGTCAAGTTGAAGTGTAAGTTTTTTGAGTCAACAAACGCATTATTGAGGAAAAAAATGCATAGATTAAACCAAATACTTCAATGGTTTTAACTGACCTCAGGCTGACAGTCCAATTCACTATCGGCAGTAGATATTTTAAAATCCAGCTCGTTATAGAAGATAAAGCCAGTTCTGCACAAACATGAACCATCTGAATACTGAAAAGCACGGTTCTTGCCAATGCAGGTACAGGAAAAAGAACCTGAGAAAGCAAGCGACACACGGCATGGCAGTTTGTGGTCCTGATTTCCAACTCCTCGCAACAAAGTTCACTATAAAAACTTTTTAAATCAGTCTGTTATTTACTGCTCTAACCAGCTTGTGAGGTGGAGGAGCTACCACAGGGGAAGCAGGCCTTCTGGGCAGGCAGGTGGTTGAAGGTGTTTTCCAGACACAGGCGACAGTCATCCATTTTCTCAGCACGAGTGAGGTTCCCGAATGAGCCAGGTGGGCAGGATATCGGCTGAGTGGATCCCAAAGGGCAAACATAGCCAAGAGGGCAAGGGTTTTTCTTGTAGTTGTCTGCACCTGTTGCATTAAATGTGTATGAAATGAGAAATACTGTACAATTGAGATAATTTAGGATGATGAAAAATTCCTGCCAAAACGTATATAAAGTACCTGGGGGGCAGAAGTATCCTGGTGGACAAGGAAGGCATTGCAGAATGGAGGCTAGAGATGGACGATAGGTGCCCCCCTCACACACAATACAGCAGCTGTTTTTGGACCCTCTGAGCCCACTAGTGTTGGCAGGCATAGAGCCGCCTTCGCAGGACTTCATGGAAGAGCTGTTGGCTGGGCAATAGTATGGAAATGGACAGCTGTGGAGCATGGTAACAGGGTTATTTATAAAGCTTTAAACCACATGAAGTAGAATCAGTCAAAACCTATCAAGCTTTCATCATTTAAAGCCTCTCATTTTTTATATCACACAGAGTGGACACTTGCCTTTGTGCCAGATTTAGCTTGTTAGAGCTGTCGTGTACTCACAGTTGTTTGGGGCTGTTGTAGGAATGAGATCCTTCAGGGCAAAAATAACCTTCTGGACAGGCTTCAGGCTCAGCAGTTTGGGGTCCACAGTACGATCCAGCTCTGCATGGCCTCTCTGAAACCGCACCTAGATTATGATCAAACACTTGTTACAACACTCACTGCTATGTTTGGAAAGGAAGGAATTTCAAATGGTTCAGACATCGCATCCAGAGGCTAAAATGAGCTTTCACATAAAACTATTCTGACAAACCCACCAACAGGACACTGATAGGAAGCCCGACAGGGTATCCCTTCAACGTTGGGTTTTCCTGTATCTTGGGGGTGTGGGCAGAAGGTTCCCCCTGCACAGAGTTCACACTGGCTGGGTGCAGCAGCTCCCGGAAGCTGCCTCATGGTGCCTGCGGGGCAGAGGATGGGAGGCCCAGTCCCACTACACCAGAAGCCAGGTGGGCAGGGATATTTGGAGTAGTCTGTCAGCCCTACAACAACAACCATTTTCTAAAAACAACAAATCACTATATAGTGTGACAGACATATGAACCACAAAGCTTGCTAAAATTATTACAACAGAAGTTTTTTTAATAAGCCTTCATTAATTCCCACATAGGCAGCAAAAGGAAGGACCGTAACAACCTGCTACACATTATCCACTAGCTAAAGCAACAATATGATTTAGTGTCAACCATAAACTTTTGTGAGAGGACCAGAAACAAGGTTGTTGTTTTTTTTTATTTGAAAATTCAGTGCATGTGGCCTCAGGTGAAGAGTTAAAATTCAATGCCTTCCCTCACATCATATTTCTTTCATTCATAGTTTAGGCACAACTATGATAATGTGCACCATATACTGTATACGGACATTAATGCAGTCTTGAAAGGAGCTGGCTTTGAATTGCCCTTGCAGATGTGCATTAAAACCCAACAGAGAAAAAAAGATTACAGATGTATATTAAAATGTATTACAGTGCACCATACTGTAGGCACGGGGTATAATCAGAACTGAATAACAGAATGGAATAATGTGTAGCTTTTACAGGGAAGGAAAAGGAATCTGTTACATTTATAGATTAAATTTGAGTTCATCTTTTAAAACATGAGGATATGGCGTATCAGACCTGTGCTGTTACAGTGTGAACCAGGTGGGCATGGCAGGCAGTCACCCTTGCTGTGTGCTCCAGGAGAAGCTCGATAAGTGTAGAGAGGGCATGGCCTGGCACCAGTCCCTCCAACAAAGTCGCCACCAGGCAGACCATCACAGTAATGACCAGCAGGACACAGATGAGCAACTGGGTCTCCTGCAAGCAAACATCACAAAAAGTTGTTTAGGAGGAAAACAGGTTTCTGATACTTGGTATATACACGAACAATTTTTATGCTACAAGAAGAGATCAGCCTCTCCTATTCTCTTTCATCAGATCAGAAAATTTAAGTATCTTGATTAAAATTTTGTATTTTTACCCTTAATACTTGATTAAAATGGCTACAAAACTTCACTCAGTTCATACCAGATTTGCACCAATACTGGGGTGGGCAAGGTAAGCAATCCTGTAGGCTGGCACCTCCTGGGGAGCTTCTGATGGTATTTGCAGGACACAACCGAGCCTGTTTTGTGCCTTCGGGGCAATAGAAACCTAGAATAAAGGAAACATTTGGTATTTAACAATTTATTTAGCTGAACTACAGAGAATAAAAGCATTAACATTGATTTGTTGGTAGTTTCTTCTACATTGTTAGTTTTTAAAATTATATATCTTTCTCTCTATATATGCATATTGCACCTGGTGGACACGGTCCAGCACACTGCACACCCCACTGGCACTGGGTTAAGTTAAACACTGGTCCCTGAGGGGTGAAATCTGTGCTTCCAGAAACGCAGATATACCCTGCAGCACAAACACCTTGGATCTTACCACCCCTAAGGAAACATACAGTTAGTTAGTCAGTACATAAAACCACAAGATTCACTCCATGCAGACAGAAACATATGCCTATGCACACATAATTAATTTAGAAGAATCTGAAACGTATTCTCCATTTAACAAATACAAAGATAATAACATCATCTCTTCTGGTTTAATGTTTACTCTGAGTTGATTATGATCATGCACATGAAGGCAGTCATTTAGTTTTGGCAGTGAACCGTGGCTACTGATCATGACATACTTGTGCATTCTGATGTGATAACAGTGAGTGTTTGTCTTTGAGCACTGTAACTGATGATTACAGTGTTCAAAGAGTTGATCATGACAGGAAGGGCAGTGGAGATACAATGTATGTTAAATGTTAAACGCATCATCCGCTGTAATTTGTGATGCTTTGCAAAATCTTAATTACTTGGAAGTAATTAAAAATGGCTAAGAGAACAATTTATGAATAATTTATAAGTTATTAAAATTAAATCTGTAAATTTATGTTACTAGGTCTCATTCTTTGAAAATCTTAAGAACCAGCAATTTTATATGAGCTATGCATTGGTCATATAGAGTTAATATAATGCATGATGTTTAGCCTGCATGCCAACATTTTTGACATAATGACAATTAACACAATGGACGCTATTATAAAGCAATATAGGATTTCTAGGAGAGATGATCGATGAACAAGGCTAACCTACAGAGTTTTAAGAAAGAAATGTCCAACTCCCATCTGAAAATCCAAATCACAGCACTACATAAGATCCATTTAAAACCGCAATAACCTTTCTGAATTATTGAAAGAGATAAAGTTGCTGTCGTGCTCCATGTTTTAATAAACTCAGTTAAAATTATCAGTAAAGCTGATATTGCTGGGTATCTTAATGAACATTTTCTATCAGCTAGTTCTGTTTTTAATGAAAATGTGGTCTCAGAGTTCTAATTTGAATCCCATGTCTTTTTCATCTATTACCTCCATATCAAAAGAACCCATTTGTCTTTAGATCAATTTCTTCAAAAGGTTTGAAATCCATTCATCCAAAAAAGTCATCTGGACCTGCCAATCTGATTCCCCGTCATCTAAAGCTAACAGCTGATGCAATTGCTGAGCCCGTTCCTCATATTATTATTTCTCCAGATTTTAGGGTGATTTAGTGTCCAGACTAATATCGCCCTAAAATCTGTAAAGCAGCCTATGTTCTCCCCTTGTAAAAAGTTTCATTTTAAAGAATTATAGCTAAACTTTCCACTCTTGTTAAAACTCTGGTATTTGCAATAAGCTCTTTGATGGCTTTAGATCAGTTCATAGTACCATAATATGTGTGGGTTACAAATTATGTTGTTAATGCATTTTTCTGCCCTGTTTGTTGATCTATCCAAGGCATTATATTCTCTTAGTCAGACTCAGTTCTCTGGGCCAAATCTTATTTAGAAGCTGAACTGGGGCAAAATGGAAAGGTACTGAAGGCATATACAACTTTTAGAGCAACATATGGTACCATCCAGATTTTGCTTTTTGTTTTTGGAACTGGGGTTTAGGGTATCTGGTTCGATAGTGTATGTATGCTGTTATGTTCCTTTATTTATTTATCAATAAATATTTTTAATTTGTAAATTTATAATTTTGTATTGGTGTGTCTTCTTGGCGTGGTCTCCCTTAAAAAGAGATTTTATTCTCAAGGGACTTACTGTTAAATAAAGCATAAATAAATAAATAAATAAATATGTCTGTATACACAAGGTGTGCATGGGCCTAGCTGTATGTTTATCTAAGTCAGTGCACTGTTTCTGAATATTTGAGAGTGCAAGACGTGCATGGGACTGTGTACCTGCAGAACTTTCCTGGAGGGCAGGGTGAACACTCTCTCTCTTCCTGTAAACCTCCCAGATCTGAAAGGGTGTATGTCCCATTAGGACAGGGCTGAGGTACCATTGTTCCTAGAAGAAAAACAAAAGGTGGGATAAAACAAAAGCCTTTATTGGTCATCTCATCTTGATTTTGAAATAAACCAAGTGGATTAACATTCTTGTCAAAAGAAAGACATGAGACTAATATTGGTCTCATGTCAATGAATATGTCAGTGAGCTATAAATAAAAGTTTAAATCTTTTATTGTCAAGAGCTTCTTTTCAGCATACCTGCAGGGCAGAATGAATGTGGTGGGCAGGGTAGTGGATCTCCCACTATGGCCTCCTCACAGTAGAAACCAGGTCTGCAGGGAATGCAGCTGTCTGATCCCTGGTTAGGCTGGTACTCTCCTGTGGGACACGGCAAGGCCATGGCAGAACCTTGCAGACAGTGGTGGCCCTTAGTTGGAATGAAAAAGGTGAAGGAACATCAGAGAAGTGGCACCCAATTTAGCAGAAAATTGATATTAAACTACGTGGCACAACCATTTATTACACATATGTCTGGAAAATAATAGAGAAGACATGGGGAAGTAATTCCGTTGGAGAGAAGTCTATATGTTCAACCTTACCTTGGGACAGAGGAATGCATATGGGGTAGTTGAAGAGAAGTCAAAAGGGCAGTAGAAACCAGCAGCACAAGGACCACTGGGGCTAGCCAGACCGTCTGTAGAGCAGTAGTGGCCAGCAGGACAGGAAGAACAACTCTCCATGGACACACCTCCTATGATGGGTGCACAACAGATAACAGTCAGAGAATATTGTGAAGGAGATAATGGGAAGCAGACAGCATGAGATCAGAAGTGGATCTCTTTTAAATTCAAATCCAGCAGCATGGAAATGCCTTTTCATGACATGTGCAAACATTACTGAAGTACCCGTGGAGTTGCGAATGCTGCCAAGAGGGCATGGAATTGGAGAGAGGCACCCTGCTGGACAGTAGTGGCCCACAGGGCAAGGGCCATTCCTGGGGAAGTTTTCAGAGCTGTGAGGGGCTGGTTCCATAGCTCCACCATGGCAGAAATAACCCTGCAAACATAAACCTGGATGGAAAAAAAAGAAAAGAAAAAGGTGACACTACCAGTTTGATGCCATGTGAGGATGCAGATGTGAGTATTTTGCTAAAAAGCCAAAGTTTTGTTAAATCAAAATTTTAATCTCTGTTCACCTTGTGGTATGGAGGCTCCATATGCGGCACAGTACAGTCCAGAGGGGCAGGGTGTGCAGGCAGAGAGCGTGTGGGCACCTGTCTGATTGTTGAAAGTACCTGAAGGGCAGGGCTGAGGCAGGGCTGTCCCAGCAGGACAGAAATGACCTAAAGAGAAAGCAGTTACTTTATGTTACTGCAGAAATACAAATTTGGACAATACTGTTGCTATACCTAAAAGTTTAAAAATATTTAATTTGTGACTGACTTAACGTTTATTTTTACCATCCTCACCAGAGGGGCAAGCGGAGGGCTCTTTAGTGGCTGACGATGGACACGTGGTTCCTTTGGGGCATAATAAGCAACGGGCTGCTCCCGGGGCAGGACTGTAAGTGCCAGGCTCACAGGGCTCCTCATGTGCTGAGCCAATAGGACAGCTGTGGCCAGCAGGACAGAGGTAGCCATGGGGACCATTGGATGGAGTGGGACTGGAGCTGCCGCCCAAGCACACATACCTGTAGGCACAAACAGAGGAAAACAAACTGCGTATAGATTTTGGCACAAGCTGCCACTAGCAAAACTGTAAGTGAGGGGAAATCATTCAGCCACAATTTCAAATTATGTTTTGTGTGTGTGTGTTTCTTGTTTTGCAGTACGGCAGAGTGCAGCTCATGGCACAAAGTCTGGCTTTATTAATTCACTCAGGTTAAACTGAATGAAAAAACAGAAGCCCTTAATAGCTAGCAGCAGCCAAGAAAAACGTATCTGAATTGTTCTGTGTTTTAATTTTCCTCCACAATATGCCTAAATGTTCCAGTCTTCTTATTTACAGTCTAATACCAGAAGAGAAAGAAACCAAACTATTGGCAGACACTGAAGTGATTGGAAGACATTAAAAGGCCTTTAAAAAAAAGTCACTATCCACTCTGAGAAAGAGTGGATTTGAAATTGAAAAGTAGAAGAGTAATAGTAGTGTCTACCCAGCCTGACACGGGAGCGCTTGTGAAAGCTTTGCTATTGCAGGACTGTCACAAAACAGTCCAGGGGGGCAGGGTGTGCATTCATCAACTCCCTTTAGTCCTTGAGCGATGGAGAAAGAACCAACAGGGCAGGGGAGTGGATAGCCAGTGCCTGCAGGGCAGTACAGGCCAGGTGGACAAAGATGACTTCCAGACGAATTTCCCTGAAAAAAGTAAGAAAAAGTTTTAATTATCTAAATAAAAGAAATAAAAAATATATATAGTGTATCATATGTGATACATGACTTTTTTACACCTGTACATCATCTGTGTGATTTTTGTTTTTTCCATGGAAATGCCTGATGCATACAATCAGACACATGCCGCCCTACTGTGAGCAATAAATTGCACATTGTTGCATTATTTAATGTGTCACTAGATTAAAAAACACTTCAGTTTCCAAAAAAAAAAGAATTTTATGACAATTTATTGTGGTTTAGGCTTTACAGGGTTAGAGTAGAAGAATGTATTTCACTGCAGAAGGTATCCTGGAAATGTGGCTCTTTTTCTTATAGTGTCTATCACACCTGATGGTACCACTGGAAGACCATTTATGACGTGCCAAAAAAGAGTTTTTTCTTCACAAATAAGACTGTAATACTAAGTTAAAGGTTGAAGGTCCCCTAAAATCATTAGGTAAATTTTACTGGCCAGCATCACAGAGGACAAGCATCACCTGATACTCAGTAGAGTTTGGACTGGTTGATCCAGCAGGACAGTAGTATCCTGCTTCACAGAGACCTGTCGGCTGGGATTGCCCAGACTGAGAGCAAAACATTCCTGCAGGCAACATAAATAAAATAAAGTCATCATAACAATAATTAGAAATAAAATAAGCTGTCATACTGGTTATGGTGAAGCAAAATGTTTTTATGTACCAGCAGGGCAGGAGAGACAGGTTTCAGGACTGGACGCTCCGAGGTGGTTCTGCACAGTCCCAGGTGGGCAAGGGAACTCCAGTCCTAGAGTCAGACCTGCAGGGCAGTAGTGACCAATAGGACACAGCACAGGCTGGACAGTAGCTTCACCTGAGCCACATTAAGAAAAAGAATAAGTACACACATTATATTTTCTTTTTCTTCTTCTTCTTCATTTTGCTGCTAACATATTTCCTCTATTCCTCCTTTGCACAACCCAAACCAACTCTCAGCCTTGCCTCTCTAACCTTGTCTCCAAACTACTGCACCTGAGCTGACTCTCTGATGTACTAATTTCTAATCCTGTCCTCCCTCCCAGTAAAATCTTAGCATCTCTAGCTCTGCCACCTCTGCCTCCTGACTTTTTGTCAGTGCCACCATCTCCACATCATACATCATGGCAGGCTTCACTACCATCTTGTAAATCTTCCCCTTTACTCTTGCCTCTGTCACAAATCCCCTGACATGCATTTCCACCCACTCGACCCTGTCTCTTCTCTTCTTCACTTCTCTCGGGCACAGAGATGCAATTAACAAAGAAATTTAGCAACTTTGGAAAGTCTGTGTTGTGTAGTTTTAAATGTCTTAAGACATCAATAATTAAAACAATTTTGTGATACTGTGAAACAATGTCTCAGTTAGTTTGGCTGAGACAAAGAGACTTTGGATAAGCTCCTCATAATTATAAAGCTTGCTCTGATTATTATAATCATCCAAGAAGGACTTTAAAGAATCACCAGTGAACACAAGTGAATTTGATCCATTTAACATAAAGGCTTGTAAATATTTTGGTAGCAAAGTATGGTAATGGATTCCTCTCTGGATTACTGCTGATCCCTGCAGGTAAATCCATGTTTCCCACCTTGACAGTAGTATCCAGGGGTACAGATGGTGCAGTTGTATTGATGCGTGTTGCCCGTTTGAGAGCTAAATGTTCCTGCAGGACAAGGCACCGGTGCTGGTGTTCCACTGGGGCAGAAGAAACCAGCTGGACACACAGCCTGATCTGCTTTGCTGGAGCCCCAGTCACAATAAAAGCCCACCCAGCAATCACCTAGAAGACAAGAGATTAAAAGAAAAACAAACTTCTATACAGAAATTTACAAGTTACAATGTGTTGTTCAAAGATTTATGCACATAAAAATTAAATTATTACAGCTGACATTTTGGGGGGCCTTTTTACAGCTTTATTTGAAAGGATAGAGTGAAGAGTGTCAGGAAAATAGAGGGAGACAGAAAGGGGAAGACATGCAGCATATGGTCACCTGCTCATCCCAGTTAGCTAAACCGGCGCCCTGACAGTGCCATTCTGGGATTTTCCTACAGCATGATATGTGCTACCATAGAATATTAATATTTTAATAAAGATTAAATAGAGTTCAAATGAATAGATTGAAGTAGCAGAGATATTGCTGATCTTTCTCTCTGACTCTAACAGACCACTAGAGATACTGCAAAGGAAAAAAGGCTGTGATCCACAGTTGAAATGAATAGTCCCAGTAACATGTGAATATGTGCTGTTGTCTCAGTTTAAGTACAGTGCTACTGGGGGTGTGGTTCCCCTATAGGAACATGTAAAGTGTCATTACAGGATATTAAACAGATCCTTTGCACATCAAAGTAGCCATCTGGCCATTTAGAAGATTTAGCTGTACAGACAGAGACTCCTAGTAAGATCACTTCATTGCTTGTGATGATAAGAATAGAAGAATAGAATAGAATCATCTTTAATTGTCCCACAAGGGGAAATTTGGTTGCAACAGCAAGAAGAAAAACACATATACAAACAAACAGGATACAGAAACATACACAATTTTCTTACATATTTACATCAAGGACAATAGTTATCAACTAATTTAGTCAAAACACTCTCACTGTATCTAATTCTATTATCCAATAAATCTACCTGCTCTGAGACCTTGCTGGCAGAAAATCCCAGGTGGACAGAGAGATCCAGTTCTGTTGTCAGTGGGGTTTGGCACTTTGGCACCCGTCAGACAAAGAAACCCAGCAGCACACGATCCTGAAGGCTCAACCAGACCTTCAGAGCCACAAAACTGCCCTGCCGGGCATACTAAGCACTGACCTGCAAACACAGACAATGACAGATTTCACTTCACTTCTAACAGCAAAACAAGCTCAAGATCAATCAGCACAGCTCTGAGGGTGCTGCATGTGGCTAAAGGTATCAATGTGTGAAGTAAACTATATTAGAGGGCACTAGAATAACACAGCAGAAAGACCGAAGTAACAAAATGCATGTAAACATTCACTCAATGACTCAATGTAGTCTTTGATTTTTGTTTTTAAACTATGAAAGGAAGAACAGCAATACTATTGTGCATCAACACAACTCAGACCTGTTTTTGTATTTTTCATATGATAAATAAGCTAAAACTAGAATATCCTATTTGTTTCTGTATATTTTTGTATCTAATATATAATAATTCCTTTCATATTAATTTCTTTAACAAATGCATTTCCAGATATGCAAATTATCAAAAGAACCTCAGGTCTGAATAATAGTTGATTAAATTACCATAAATCATGTGTCTGAATCAAGCATTCATTGCCATATTTAGACTTCAATCTAAATTAAATAAATACAACAACTAGCCATGAATGCAACATAACTGCACTTGTCTCTATTTCCTATAAAAGTTCTGTTATTTTACCTGCACTAGTGAGACCCTGCAAGGGGCTGTAGCTGCCTTTGGGGCACGGGAGTGGCTGATTGTGTGGACTCTCCTCCTTTGGACAGAAATAACCAGCTGGGCAGGGCAGAGGGCTGGAGACTCCAGCAGAGCTCCCTCTGGTGGGGCTGGGATTCAGAGGCTGGCAGTGGAACCCAGGGGGACAGGGATTACACTCGTTCTGCCCTGGCAAATCCTGGAACCAGCCTGGCAAAGACATTCAGACAGTGAGGATATCGTCAGAAATGTCAGTTTTGTGTATTAACATTTTGATTACCAAGAGGGCATGGTTTGCAGTCATGTTTGCTTTTTCCTCCAGTCTTATTTTGGTAAAAACCAGGCGGGCAAGGTGAGGGGGCACTGCTGCCCTCTGCACAGTAGTGGCCTGCCGGACAAACACCTCCCGATACACTTGACATTGGAGTAGCAGACTGGGATCCCTCTAAGCAGTAAAAACCTAGCAGTAGAAACATTTAAATGTGTTCAAGTCAAGCAGGATAATAAATCATTTGACATAACATAATAATGAGCATCACTTTTTACCTGGCGAGCAGGGTCCAGACACTTCAGAAAGGCCAGGCTGTGAACAGTAAAAGCCAGGTGTGCAGCCTCGACACAAAGAATGATCAACAATGCCGATCTGCTCACTGAAAGCAGAGGTGGAATTTGAATTGATCATGGGTCATCTTGACTGTAAATGGATTTGATTACATATGAAATAATTCAAATAATACTAAAAGGCACACAATGGGCACTATTTAGCCACCAATATTGGACTATTTGTGTTGTTTTACATCTTCAGATCATTCGATGTTTATGGAGGTACTGAAAGATGTCCACCTGAATGTTCCTTTTGGGCATGGTTGTGGTACAGATGTGCCTGCAGGGCAAAAGAACCCAGGCGGGCAAGGGAATCCTGTCACATTGTCTAACGGTGAAGGTTCACTGGCTCCCTCGGCACAAACAAACCCTGCAGCACATTGCCCAGTGGGGGTAGTCCTCCCTTCAAGCAAATATAATTAACAGAGTAGAAAAGTACATATATTTTTCCAACAATACATCAATACATTTAAACAGCAGTTGTCTGCAAGAAAGATCTGTTGAACGAAACAAACATGGCCAGAGAAATGTACCTGTTCCTCTGCAGTACATCCCGGGGTCACACTGTAAACACTGCCATTCCTCAACCAGTCCTGATATGTTTCCATAGGTCCCGGATGGACAGGGATGCTGATATGCTGATCCACTGGGGCAATAAAACCCTCTCTCACATGGAAGTGGAAGAGTCGTTCCTGACAAGCACATTTCAAATAGGAACATTTGCAATCATTTCTTAGAAAACTCGCCCCAGTTAAAAGGTTACATCTGGGCTCCAGCAGCTAAATGCTTTGTCGTTCCATCAGCTTTACCTTGCTCTTTACAATAGAAACCAGCAGGACACGTCTCGCAGCCGGCTTGACCTCGTCTGAACTGGTAGGTGCCAGGAAGGCAGGCTGTCTGTCTGGCGCTACCCTGAGGAAACCATCAGATTCATTTTATTAGATGTTATATGCGGAGAACAACATGTATCATCAGTTGTAATCGTAGTGCAACAATATCAGTGGACAGAGTCACAGCACAGGGACTCGGATGAAACACCAACCTGCTATATTAATGCACTAGTCATGAAAAAATAACAGAGCTGAGGAGGGGGGGGTTATGTAAAGACATCACATGCAATATTCATTGATGACTGACAGTAGCTTGAAGCCTGACACTACACAGCTGACCTTCTCACAGTAATGACCAACTGAGCAGGCATGTTGCTGTGGTCTTTCAGAGATCTGTCCCTCAGGACAGTAGTAGCCTTCTGCCCAGGGGCCACTTGGCTCAGCCATTCCTTGCTGGTGACAGTATTGACCTGGAGGACACAGCTGGCAAGCCTCAACAGTGGATCCACCAAGGGAACCTGGTGGATAATGTGCACATTGTAGTTAAACTGTTTATCTAGGAGTGATGGTGACGCATTCGTGCGCGTAAGGGTGTGATAAATTAAGAAATCTGAATTTTAATGAAATGAGCAACATAAATTGATTAAGAAGACAAAACTGTTGTTTTGCACACCCACGTGCACAGGGCATTTGCTCACTCAAAAGAAAAAGACTTTAAAAAAAATCACCATATCACTTTGAAATTAAAGCCTTAAATAGATTACAATGTTATTTCAATGCAAAGTGCATCCCAAGTCCCTCATCAGTTTCTAATTCATAACTGTACAAAGGAGCTACAGCATATAATAATAGGATTCTAGTTGTCTGCCGCAAGACAAGAATACAATTACACGATTAAGCCACTTTGTGACTGCAATTATTCATAGGCGCCCAAGGGGGAAAAAATGCTTCGGTGGAAGTTTTCATATTTTTCCACATGACTGAGCTGCAAAGGTATACACCAGTTCAAACAAGGACGTCAGTGGGAAAACTGATGATGTTCGGAGCAAAGGGGATTAGGTTTTGTTTTTCTCAGTTTTACTATTTTGATTGCGTACTCATTCATCATCAATTCATGGCCTGGGTACAAGCCAGGGATTACTGATTTGTCCTCAGTTGCTTCTCCTTTTTGATGGAAGAGAAATCACAATGCACAAGCTTCTCTTTTGTTAATGAAATCAATAAATGTACTCAAAGAACAATGTATTTGTTATATTACTCACAGATTACAGCTACGTAACAAAAGTGCAACAGCTCACTTTTTACAGTTCCCAGAGGGCAGGGCAGAGGAAGCTGGGTTCCAAGGGGGCAATAGTGTCCTGTGGGACAAGGGTTGGCGTGGGGTTCAGAAGAGCCTCTAGGGCAGTAATATCCAGCTGCACAGGGTCCTGCTGGAGCCTCTAGGCCAGTCTGGTTGCAGTAAGAACCAGCCTCACAGGAGTGAGGGTAAGCAGAGCCCATAAGACAATAGAAACCTGAAAAAAAATCAGCCAGACATTGTCCCTGAAATGATAACACTTCAACAAGAGAAAGTTTCCAATTAACTAAGTGATCCCTCCAGGGACAGAGGGTTTTCTCACTCTCAAACTTTTATTCTCTGCTTCTTCTGTTTCACACAACTACCCTCACAGCTTTTCCTTTACGTTTGAAGGAATGTTATTACTTGCAAATCTGTTCTTTTAGGCTCGTATATCAACAGTGTTACTTTTATGTGCCTCACCACCCAGCCATCTGCAGCTCTTTATCGCCCATTCGCTCTACTGTATTGTAAAGTCACCTTGTTATGTAAAGTGACGGGAGATGGAAATGAAGTCTATTTAAATAAAATCGAATGCCCTTGCCATTGGTTTAAGGTGGGGAATTTGAACCTTTCAGAGTGAGATTTATTTGGGGGGTTTTGTGCTGCCACTAATGTTTTTTTTAGTGCGCTTATTTGACAAACTATATTTCTCTCCTTATTTATAGAGCAAGCCATTAAACACTAAAACTAAGCATTCATCATTCAAACCACTTTAATGTGATTTAACATTTCAGCCATAATTTTCTGACCGAGTCGCTAAATAAACCGAGACTAAGCGGGAATCAAACCAAATTACATCACACAACCTGCACCAATCAGATGAAGTAAGTTGTGTGTCTTACCATTTTCAAAAAATGAGGCTATCATGTCATGAGCAATGAAGATAACTAAAGTATCACATTAAGTGCATAAGTTCACTGCCAGGATTTACCCACCCCTAGGGCATATATCTCCTCTGTAGGTGGAACACGCATACTGTGGCGTCTTGAGACTCGGCGGTGAATCAGTCACAGTCTGATCTAAATCTTCCCGTGACACTGCTGCTGCTTTGATCCCACTAGCATCTCTCCCTGTAACACAACATGGCAGATAAAGCATGAAAAATAGTTGAGTTATAATCTTTGTCTACCAGACAGGACGCCAAAGAGGAGCCTCCTTTTTTTTTCTCTACAATGCCTATTAAACCATTGTGTCAGGGGCAGACAATGTAACATTGTATGGCAATGATTAATTGCAGAACACTTAAGGTCAACCATGAAAAGCCACTGTCTTGTGGGATATTTATCACTACTTCTAAAGCTCTGCACTGTGGTAGACCAGTTTGAGCAAAGTGATGTACTGCCCTTATAAACAACGCATATGGTGTCTTTACAAACAGGAGAACACTATATTTTATCAGAATTACCTGAGTTATTAAAGCAGGGCAGGTTTTGCATCCAGGTGGCATTCGTCCTTATGGTGGAACCCTCTAGTATTTTCAGAAGACAGCTGGACAAAGATGAGTTAGCTCGAGGTGTGGGACTATCTGCACCTCCAGAACAGAAGAACCCCGCAAAACACAGACCTAACACAGAGAGGAATTAGAAAAGACTCTAAAGCAGCTGCTTATGAGACCCCAAAAAGTTGTTATGGGCAGAAATTCAGCAGACATGACTAATGGGAGCTGTGCAACTCCTGAATCTGCACTTAGGGTACTTGAGGTAAAGCTGAATAATAAAATATTGTATTCAATAGACAATTTATAACAGTCTCATGACTGGTCTAATTCTCCACCTGTGGGCTGTGAGGCTCCAGGATTCAGGCAGTATTTCCCTGGGGGACAAGGACGGCATTGGGAGAGAGAGAGTGCGCCGAGCTCGGGAAAGAAGCTGCCAACAGGACAGGGTGTGGGAGACCCACTTCCCTGAGGGCAGAAATGTCCCATGGGACAAACATCTCCATAAGTCTGGGAGACAGGAGAAGGCTCAGTGGATCCCGGGGAACAAAAATGTCCTGTAGTAAACAATGTGGTTAGACAACTCACAGAGGACGCTGAAACATTTACAGTTTAAAACATTGTAGGAAAACAGAGTTATTCAGTGGAAGCCACAGCTTAACATAGCACAGGCATACAGCAAAGATATAGAAAATCCAATCTTTCAGTTGTCTGACAAGAATTCCCAAGGTGATTATGGGCTGTCAGACCTGGGCTGCAGGGTCCAGGCGGCTCTGTCAGAGCGCTGCTGTTACAAAAAAAGCCAGAGGGGCAGGGGGAGCAGTCACTTAGGGACATCCTGCCAGCTGATGGACTGACGTGGCCGATTGGACATGGAGATGGCACGGAGGAACCTTTCAGACAGTAAAAACCTAGACAAGGTAGCATGTCTCATTTAATAATTAACATCAGTTTAAACATCATCTGTTTGTCTCTTTATAAAAAAATGATATAAAAATAACATATGTGTCATTTTTGCATTACCCGCTGGACAGCTGTTACAAGCCGGATGTCCAGACAAGGACTGAAATGTGCCAGGAGTACAGCCAGTCGGCTCCGCGCTACCACGCGGGCACGCATAGCCAGGTGGGCACTGGTGACCTGCCAAGCACATAATGAAAAATCCAAACTGTCATTGTTTACAATGAAAACAAAATTTGAAAAAAAAAAACAAAACAGAAAATGATAGTGCTGCCATGACACATCCTCTTAATTTCTTTTATGTACCAATTATGCATGAAATAAGCACATCTCGTGTATTTTCCCAGGCTCAGTGTCCATGGAAACAAAGCAATGAAAAGGACAGTGGCTCTTATCAGTATTACCGCTGTACAACAATCCTGTGGGAGGAAAGGAGAGCAGAAAGCGGGCTCAGCAGCAGGTGCTTTGTCTTGACAGACATGAGCTTGTGGCTATTTATAGGTTCTGCCCCATTTCATGCTCAAATTAGCAAAACATCTTTATAATAAAAGGTAAAAAGGCAACAAAGAATCTCTAGGTGCACGTGTAATATAACAGGAGAAGGATAGTTTATGGGCGGGATAAAAACCGAGCATCTTTTACTATGTAGATTATTACAGAAGCAAGCCTCAAAGTAGAACGTTATAGTTAAAATGACAGACAAAAGAGCTGATTCTAGTTAAATGGCAAATTTAAACGTGTAAAATGAAAACAATCTGGTTATTCTAGTTAAGACAACATATGTTGTCTCAAAAAATGAAGGGATAAGTTGAAAGTGAGCAAAAGAGATAACGTTGGCCTATACTGTATGTGATCACATGCTACATGAAAGTGCAAAGACCACTGTTAAGCCTGAGTTGACCCGCAGTGATGTGTACTCCACCTGGCTGATGTCCAGACGCTGATCCTGCTGGACAGAACCACCCAGGGGGACAGAGGAGGTCAGCAGAAGTCTGAGCCCATGAAGGGCAGTAAGAGCCTGGGTAACAAGCTTCACAGTCCGCCTCGGACTCAGCCGCAGACCTCGCAGAGAAGGTGCCTGAATGGAGAAAACAAATGATCATGAAAGTACATAGACACAGACAAAGAAAGACAAAAATACAAAAGACACAGCTTGGAATAACTGTCATTTTTCACACTGAAGTAGAAAAAATGACAGTAGTAAAAATGCCAGTAGCAGGCTCCATTAATTCACCTGGTTAAGTAGCTAGCTGCTCATCATGACAGCTTTATTGGACTGCTGTTGAGTTTTATGACCTTCTCTAAAGTTCTGGATAAATAAGCCATTATACTTTACCTCTGAGAGCTTTATGTCATTGTATACCACCTTTGGAGACAGTGTAATAAAAACCAAGCGTATTTGTAAAACGCTATAGCTGATGCTGTTGATGAACATATTCATCATACAGCTTTATCACAAAACTTTCAGAGTAATCGAAATAATTTTGTCCTTATTTTTTCCAAGGTCTTTCTTGACTGTCTCTTGTTTTCTTTACCTGGAGGACATGGGCTGGGCTTTGCACTCCCTCTAGGACAATAGTAGCCTTCAGGACACACATCTCCATGGAACTGACGCAGGGTTGATTCACCAGGAAGTGGGGATGGAGTTAGGATATCTCCTGTAACTGAGACAATAGACCTTTATTGGATGTCATTACTCATTAGGTAGGTGAATGACCTAAAAGGCCAGAGCCATTTTCTGCAATCACAGAAAGAAAAATAATAAGAGATGTAGTGGGGACTGGTAAATGTTTCGTGAAGACCTTCTCAGCTGTGCTGAGTCAAAGGGCATGAAAATGTTAAATAAAACCTGGAGTGCACCGAAAGAAAATTCTGCACAGAAAGATATTTTTCAAGCTGTGTCAGATGACCTTAACTTTTTGTTGTTGTTGTTGTATTTCAAATACCATTACTAAAAAAAACTAGTTTTGCATGTTTTATGCATTTATTAACACTATGTAAAGGGCAAGAGGAAGAAAACTGTCACCTGTGGTATTACCCCAAGGCGTGGCAGATCTGGATCCTTCTCTGCAGTAGAAGCCGGGGTTGCAAAGCCCAGATGGGAAGGAGAGACCATCCTTGGCACAGAAGTGGCCTGGCAAACAAGGCTGACATGCTTCCAAAGAAACCGCTCCTGGCAAACCAAGTTCATACATTTATTATAAAATGGAAAACTAAAAATAAAAGTTAAACATTTCAACTCCACATGGTAGTTATCTTAGGAGACACTTAACACTTTGTAACTTAAGCTACTGTAAGTCTGGGTATAATGTTCCAGTGTCAAAAACACTGAGTAATTAGTCAGTATTACATGTCACCTTCTATGGAGCTGAAAGTGCCTGCAGGGCAGGGAATCATGTAGCTGGTACCCTGTGGGCAATAGGACCCAGCAGAGCAGCGGCCTCCTGTTGGGTGATCCTCTGGTTGGGGAGAAACAGAACCCTGGATACAAAGGTAACTAAGTGCAGAGAGATGATGAGGATAGAGGTGATTGCAAGGGGTATGTGGGATTAAGGAAGTAATAGATAACAGAAGGACAGACAGGACGAGATGGAACATATAAGGAGATTTAATTACAGAAGGGGACGGTATAAAAATATAGGGAACGAAAATTTCTTTCTTAATCTGGCTGACCGCTTAATGAAGTGTGTGTTTAGTTAGCCTGTGTTTACCCAGCAGAGCAGACCCCAGTAGGAGCAGCCAATCCAGAGGAACTGCAGTATCTCCCTGGAGGGCAGAGCTCACAGTCTGACTTATTGGACAACCCCATCTGCCTGCTGAAGGTGCCAGCTGGGCACGGGAATGCTACACCATCCTGCGTTCCTGTAGATAAATACGTATAATAACTACAGATTGCCCCTGAATACACATCACTGAACAGTTTGTAAAGACCCCTCTTATCTTGATTATGCTCTATAATGGTCATTTACATAATTAAAAAGCCATTTTGTGTTAGAGTCTTCTATTAGTGTGCGCACAAAACAAGAGCAACACTATATTTAGTATTTGGCACTCATGTCACACATATCTTTATTTTATTATGCAAATGATAACCTTGTACATTTCTCATGAATGTATTACAGCAGTGATACTAATCTTCACCTACCTGATGGGCAGTAATGTCCTTTAGGACACAGCATGGGAGTGTGAGTCCCTGACACATGCCCAGTGTCAACATCCACTAAGCCAACACAGAAAAATCCTGCAGGACACTTAACACAGTCTGGCTGTAAAGAAACAAATGATGCAGAGTTTTCTACACATTACATACAAAATGATAACTACACTAATATCAGCAGATGTTAGAATTGGATGCCAGCCTCACAATAAATAAAAACCCACCTTCTGTTGCTCATATATAGTTAGTTATTAACCTTATTCCAGATTTACTTTTTTAAATATTTTTCAAAACAGCATATCAGCCTATATATGGCTTGTACACGATCACAGTCATGACAGCTGTATAGTATGTGCACCTTGACTATTAAAAATAAGCAACCATTCATCTTCATGTTTCTCACCTGTCCTGGTAAATTTTGGTAGGTCCCTGGCAAGCAGGGTACCTGTCTATCAGAACCAGGTGGGCATCTGCTTCCAGGTGAGCAGGTTTTTGAATTGTTTTTTCCGCCTGGACAATAAGAGCCAGCTGGGCACATATGAGAAGGGAAAGAGAGCCCTCTGGTGTCACACATGAAACCTAAAAACATAAGCAACACTGTTAAGCAGATACAGATGTAATATGAAGGTATTATTACCCTATAATTACCCTTCACTTACATTCTTTGAATGTAAGTGAAGCTTTATCTTCTTGAAAATGCAACCATTTCCAACCTGGAGGACAATGCAGGCAGTCACTGAGATGACTGTTTCTGGTTTGGTTGCTGTAATGACCTGGTGGACAAGGAACTGGTGCTGATGAGCCCTGGGCACAGTAATGACCTTTAGGACATCTGTCACCTGTGACCCCACCATCCTCCGGTGTGCGTGACCAGGCCCCAGAGACACAGTAATACCCTGCGCCACACTGACCTGATGGAGCACCTTTCCCATGATGTGCACAGAAAAAGCCTGGTTTGAGAAGAAATAATGTTGATATCAACTCGAAGGGAATATTACCACCAACAACACCAGGAAATGAAAATGAATAAAAAGTACTGTATATAGTATCAGTTTTAATGGAGAGAGACAGAATATCAACCAAAAATCCAGAAAAAAAACCCTGCATTGCATAAAAGCTATAACATTACGTGCATGATATTGAGTGAAATGGGCATTTCATCCTCAAGCAAAACATGGCTATTTTTGGTAAGAGGTTTAGGCTGTTACCTTGGTGGTATATTTTGTGTCACTGCTGGATGACCCATCCACAAATCATCTTAAATGTTATGGCTGAGAAAAGGAGGTTCCTGTGCAAAATGTTGTGGTACATGTCCCTGCTAAGTTGCCCTGTACCCTTAGAAGAACATGAACCCAAAGCATAATGTTTCTACTTCCATGCTTCACTATGGGGATGATGTTCTTTGTGTCATAGTCAGTATTTCTCTTCCTCCAAACACAGCAGTTTGAGTTGAGGCGAAGAGCTCAATTTCGGTTTCTTCTGACCTCAGCACTTTCTCCCTAAGCCTTCTCTGAAACATTTAGATGCGCACTGGCAAACTTAAGATGGGTCTGTAAATGTGCCTTCTTGAGCAGGAGACACCGTGATGTATTACCAGTGTTGTTCTTGGTGATTGTGGTCCCAACTATCTTTTGATCATTAATACACTCCTCTCACGCAGTTTTGGTCTGATCCACCATCTTTCTCATGATCATCCTCACCCCATGAGGCAGGATCTTGCGTGGACTCCATCTGACATGCATTTTATATTTTTTTTTCATTTCTGAAACAGTTATCACCTCCTCACGAAGCTTCTTGATGATGATCTTGTACATCTTGTCCCTGCCCTCCTTTGAAACCCTCTTTGGCTGAGATCAAGAGTTTCTGTTTCTGATTGATTGATCAATCAATTGATTGGTTGATTGATTGATTGATTGATCTGTGACAGCCAGAATTCTGGCTGTGTTGTATGGGATCTAATATCTATTTCCCTCAATAACATGCAATTCATATGTGTTTTATACAGTTTTATACAAATACTTTTTTATAATGTATTGTGTCTCTCTCTATTTAAATGAAACTACCATAACAATTATACACTGTTCATCTTATTTTAAGTGAGCAAAATATACAATGTTAAATTACACCCTGGGCCAACTACTTAACCTTTAATACAGTGACATTTAATTGCCGTAAATGATGTGTGACCTGGAGGGCAGGGAAGACAGTCCTGGGGTTTTGCCATCTGAGTGTGGGGATTGATAGTTCCAACTGGACAGGGGTACTGGTGTTCGGCCCAGGTCCCAGATGGACAGTAATGACCCACTGGACACTCATAACTCTCTGTCAGAGAGCCATTAATTGTGCCAGGACAATAAAAGCTATGCAGACAAAAACAGGATAGAATAATTTATCTTGTAGCAACAAAACTTGAATGTAATTGTGTATACATGTATATACAGTATAAAAATCACTCATGCACTACTCTATGTACAGTTACAGGTCTTGGTTATTTTTCTGTATCTGTTTACAGTCTCAAGTGACTGTGCAAGGCTGATAAGTGAGTTTACCCCTGAGGACAGGCACTGCAGCTGGCTTGGCCATCTTCTGTGCTGATGGTTCCCAAGGGGCAGTGCTGAGGAGCCACAGAGCCCTCAGAGCAGTAATAACCTGGTTGTGTGAAGACAAGAGTCATGAAATAGATGCACACTGAAGCACAAACTAAGACATGCACAATCCACAGGAGAGAGGCTTTGATTTCCAGTGTGAGTCGAGTAGCTGCTTATGTGTAGCTCTATTATAATGAAAGAGTTTTGCTTGCCTTTTCATTAAACTTGCTTATGTGAACTTTAAACCTCCCAATCCTTTCGCACTTCCAACAGTGTTAACGCTGCCTGATTAAATCATCCAGACATTTCTTTTTGTTTTGTTTTTTATATTTGTTTTTAATCTGTCCTGGTATATTTTATTTTGACCAGGTTCTGCTGGGTTTTTGAATAGTAAGCTACAGATGCAAGGGGATCTGATCACCTTTTGGGCACGGCCCTCCGTGGCTGTCTCTCAAAGGAGGTTCAGGACGCTCTGCACCCCCAGAGCAGAAGAAACCTTGCCAGCATTTTCCTGAAGGTGCCGAGAGCCCCGCAGCATCACAGTAGTAACCTGGGAAACATGGCTGACAGTCCTCCTGAGAGGAATAATGATAAAAACAAAGAGGGAGAGGGATTAGGGAAAGAGAAAGACAGCCGATAAGAAAAAGAAAAATGTGCTTTGTTGCAATATTAATATTGAACTACACATCTACTTGCTATTACAGTGAATGACAGAAATAATCATGTAAGTTACTGTGTAAACAGTTTTTCACAATTGCTAAGATCCATTCCTTAAACCCTTAACGACGTATCTCAAAGTTGTAAACAAAAAAACGCAATGAAACAATCAAATCATCCACACAATCATCAAAACAAAAACACTGCTCAGCACTCATTATGCACCAGAGCAAAACACATTGTTCAGGACACGGAGTTCTCATGTCTCATGTTGTTTTTAAGTCTTGCAAACTTTATGCGGCTAATTTATAAATGCATAAAAATGATTCAAATATTAAATAAAAGCCATAATGAACAAAATGTTGAGCTTCCATTTTAGATAACACGGTAAAGAATCAAGACGACTAAGATTAGGTTGTTCGCTTTGTTCTACATCCAGTAATCACACAATGTATTCTATATGAAGTGTCACATATTGTGCTATTTGTCTTCTACTTTTAATTGCTCATATCAACCTTCAACTTACCTTTGCTTGCTGTATATTCTGAACAGGCTTACATCAGTTTCATCACATCTGTGCTGTAGTTGTCTTTTCAACTTCAGTGTGAATCACTGTGGACCATCTAGTTTGGTAATGTTTTTAGGTTTTACAAAATGAGATCAAAGTGTGTCTAAAAAAGTGAAAACTGTTCAAATTTTGATTGACTCAATAAACTGGATTTGGATATTGAGAATTTACTTCAGAGAATAGGAGTCAGTGTGGAGGATTGAGTGAACCAATGTATCTCTCAGGTCCTGTCTCGGGGCTTTGCTGGATTTTTCCCTTATTTTTAGGACATGATTTTCATCTGCTTTACTTTTTTAGGTCTGACACTTATTCCTTTGTCCTGCACCTGTTTTTCATGGACACCCGGCACACCATGTCAAGATATGCCAGGTTTTCAGCTAATAGCACTTTGGAAATCACCTTGTTGGTTCAAAAACACAATTTTATGCCTGCCATACTGTGTTATCTTTGGCATTTTTCATAGATTTCCTAAAGCAATGGGAACAAATGATGTGTTTCGTGACAGGCTGCTAATAACAAAGTGCCTAAAGATAGAATTTAAAATGGGCTCTTTGCTAAGGTGACTATTATGTATAAATACAGCACTGTTAAGTGCCTTTTTATGCTTGAATGATTCCAAAGTCTGTGAATTAACAAAAAGAAAAACATTCATCTGAAAATGGTCTGGATGGAAAATGAGTGGGGGGGAAAAGTAGACAATGTCTAAACAAAAACTTTGAAAGGCTTTCAGAAATTTAGGAAAACTAGTGTCATTCCTTCAAAGTAAAACATACAGAAATGAGGGGTGATGTCAGATTTTAATTCTAAACTAAATAAATTAGCAACTTTTCAAAACATCAAGAATTATGAGAATATTTCCACTTTTTCATCTTAGTTTTGATAGGAAAGCCAGGACAGCCTTTGAGTGTAATAATTTGAGTATGTTGAGTTAAAGCTACCTCTGAGACTAATTTGGTCTGGTTAGAAAATGTTCCTCGTGGACACGGCAGAGGCTTAACCGTGGCCTGGGGACAGTAATGACCAGCAGGACATGGCCCTCCTTCTCCTGGTGAGAGACACAGCATCAGCAATCAAATTTTGCCACATATAAGTAAGACAACACATAGTATTACCAGAATGTAATTTGCTTTATTGCAGTTCTTGCAGTTCTAAAGAAGCATGTTCACCTGCAGCCACTGAGAAAGGCTGTGGAGAGATGTTTCCATATGAGCAGTAATATCCTTTCTGACACGGCCCAGTGACAGTTGTGCCATTTCTGGAAGAGCAGTAATGGCCGGCGTCACACTGCCTGCACTGCAAGACAGACTCATAGCCGGGGTCAGGACCATAAGTTCCCTCTGGACAGCTTCTCAAGTCAAATCCAGTTCCTTGGGGGCAGTAAAAGCCTGCAGGTCATAAAACAAACAAAGAGAAATTTGGAAATAAAGGATTAAGGATAAAAAAATATCACATTTCTTTGTTGTTGTTTTTTTTTGGGGGGATTTAGCAGAATTTCTCTTGATAATTTAAATAAAAATAGCTTACAAATGCCACTGTACTATAAGGACATCCAAAGCAGCAAATCACAAACCTGCAGGACAAAGGTACAACGAGCCAGACACACAATACCAGCCTGGCAGACAAGGTTCACACTGAGTAGCATGTGTAACAGCCACATATGTCCCTGGTTCACAGGGCACAGGTTGAACAGTTCCCTCAGGGCAGTAGTAACCCTCAGGACAGGGTCCCCCTGTATTTCCATCAGTGGGAGTAGATGTGACAGCTCCCTCTATGCAGTAGTATCTGCATAAGGAAAAGACAGCATGAAAATTCTGGGGATAAAAATGATATTTACATTATTTTCTATATGGATATATATAACAAAGACGATGATGATGTGATGGTTATTTCTTTAATCATCACAATCTGGTGTACCCTGCACGACAGGACCCACTGGGTTTTGTAAGGCCAGCAGAGTTGCAATAAAAACCCCCAGGACAGGGTTTGCAATCCTTCTGGCTATGCAGTCCTGAGCTGTTTGACCAGCTCCCTTCAGGGCACGCTTCAGGACCTGTGGTGCCTGCAAAGATGGCACAAGCGCAAAAACACATCTTGATTCCAAGAAGCAGAATGACTGCCACACTACAATAAAGACAGCAATTATTAAATGTAGCAAAAAATTTAATTTAAGACACTGTACTCAAAATTCAGCTACAACTAAATAACTGACATGCACCCATTGTTGGGTCCAGGGTTGAGGAATTTAGGGCAAGATGTAGCTGTAGGCTAAACAAGAAGTTTACCTTACAGCTGCATTTTTAAGGTATGTGTCAGTGCCTCAAGTTGAAGAAAACAAGCACACAAATTAATTTAATGAGAACTATATCAAAAGTTGCAAGAAAACATGTTTTTGAACTTCCTTTAGCGCTCTAAATGCTAATTAGTGTGACTAAAACTTGACAGCCACAGACTATAAAAGAGCAGAATGTTAATATCCTCACACAGTATAAATTTGGTTACATTAGCTTAAAAAGCAAGCTGCATCAGCACTGTGTTACAAAAAAAGTGATGTGTATCGTTGAAACTTGCATCATCATTGCAGCAGCAACTGTGGGCGACTGCTTGTTCGGGGAAGACAGATGAGGTACCTGAGGGGCAGTAGTGACCAGGTGGACACAGGGAACCTGAGAGTCCATCCAGTGGCCTGGGAGAGGAGGCTCCCTTTCTGCACCAATATCCAGCATGGCATGGTCCTGTGGGTAAAAGAATGTCACAACACATTTCATCGTACAGTCACATAAATATATCTGCAGTCCTGCAGTACACACTAGACGCTGCACCTTCCGGGTTTTACAACTGGATCACCAAACTAGGTCACCAAGATTAACTTTTAATATATGATTTTGACTTACATACCCCAGGCCAAATACAGTAAATCCAAAGCTATTTTCACTAAAGTTGAGAAAACAATGTTTATTTTTGCATTTTGGGTGAAGAGACACGTGGGATCATTGTTTTGAACTTTGCAAAAGCACTTCAAATAGCTTATCTAACAAGACATAATGAACAGCATGAGTTTTGTGGGATTTATGGGAAGTATTTTCAGTAAGACATAGTAGAGAAGAGAAGAGAAGAGAAGATGAAACAATTCCAACAGTTACATAAAGAAAAACAGAAACATATACTCACAAACACACCCCACAAAAACAGAAAAATGTACAATTTTCAAAAACTAAGAACAAGCAAATCATTGTTCACTGTACACAAGACATTGAAATGAAAATATCAAAATCTGCCATCATTTTATAATGAGTCAATTCTATCTTGATACGTGCAGATAAGGTCAACATCTGTAGACCCTGTTCCTTTCATTTTGTTTCTCCTGGTTAGCCAGATTCCCATTTTTGCCTGACTTATGAGAAAGTTGGAAAGACAAATCCGCTTCCTCTGTGCTGATCTGTATTTGGGACCACAAATGAACATTGTATTGTCCGGCACCTGTCCATATCCAGCCAATCACTCTTCCAGCAATTTAAAGAGGGAAACTAGGACATTCAACCCACAAATGTTGCAGGTTCTTCTTAGATTGAAAAAAAAAAAAAAACACAGTTACCCTCTACTCTTTGATCTGTATGTGTTAAATGTCTGTCTCTGGCCACTGTCCCATGCACCACCCTTCACTGGAGAGCCACGCTACGTTTCATTGGAAGGTTTGTACATAGACCTTCAGCTGTCTCTAGGATAAGAACCTCTTACACTGCAAAAACTCAAAATCTAACCAAGTATATTTGTCTTATTTCTAGTCGAAATATCTCATTACACTTAAAATAAGACACATTCAGCTACAGAGTAACATTTCAGTGAGATTTAGGAACTCGTTTTTAGACAGTACATCTTGAAACTGGAGAATTTTCACTTGTTCCACTGGCATTTTTCACTTATTTCAAGCAAAAATATATTGTATTAAGTGAAAAAACTGAATGAGAAGCCACTTCCAATACAAAGACACCCTTTGCGTATCACCCTGTCAATATCTTTTCTTCAACCAAAATCTTTTCTGTTTACTGAGTTGCTTATACCCTGCCATCCTAATTATTTTCAATACTGAGTTTATGAACATCAGACACGGTGATCCACATTGATGGCACAAATAAAGGTGAACTAATGCTCCTTTCAACCAACAGGTGAACTAACTGTTCCTCATGGAGAAAGACAACCACAGCCTTGTTCATCCAAGAGCCATAAGTAATGTTCTTGTGACCTACCGGTTCACCAGCAGCTAGGAGAACCTGCTCCACAGTATACTGCTGGGGAGCCACAACACTGGCCCCTTTTATAACTGACAGAAGAGGTGAGCCCTTATTAGGGAACAGCCAGTTAACTTAACCTTGTTCACTCTACATCAAACAATGAAAAAAAAACCGTATCTTTCCTGTTAAACAACCAAAGGGCGTGAAGAAAATGTATCTGAAATGTCAGTCTAAACGTCCAAAATCCATTTAGCAGCTCCACCCTCTCACCAACCACCTTCACACTCAGTCACTCACACTCCCAGCATGCAGTGCAAGGAGAGGAGAACAGAGAAGACTTTCAGATTCTCACCTGCTGGCTCTGACAGTCCAACAGAAGGACAGTAACGTCCAGATGCACAAGGCATGCAGCCAGCTGAGCTGTCTATATGCTCTCTTGGGTTAAAGGAGCCTATGGGGCAAGGGTGTTGGTTGGGCAGAGCTGTACCTGGAGGACAGTAATGTCCCTTAGGGCAGGGCCTCAGCAAGGACACATTAGCTGCACCCAATCTTGAATCACAGTAGTAACCTTAAAAGAGAGATTTTTTTAAATTAACAATATCAATGTGGGAAAAGGGTAAAAAAAAAATTACACATTTATATTGGTGGCATTAGGGAAAAAGTCAACAATCTTGCAAGGATTTAAAAAAAAAAAGCAATCAACTTCAATAAACACTTCTTCAACCACTTATGAAAAGGCTAAATAACAATGTTGAAAAAGTCAAAGGATTTAGGTGTCCTACCTGCCCCACAGATGGCACAGGATGCCTGTTTGTCTCTATCCTGATAGGTTCCTGATGGGCACGGCTCTGGGGATGAACTACCCTCTAAGCAGAAGTGACCAGGAGGACATGGCAGAGCCATAGCCACAGTCTGACCAGGAGGACACCAGTATCCTATGGAGATTTACAGAAATACAGTAGTGTAAAAAGGTGTTCATCGAACATGTGATCAAATTTATGAACTGACCATCGCTGCAGAGTCCAGTTGGAGCCCTGAGGCCTGTTGTTCTGCAGAAGAAGCCTGATGTACAAGGCTGACAGCCCTTCACACTGGTCAGGCCTGACACTGGGGAAAAAGTACCAGCAGGACAAAACTCTGGCTCCCCAGACCCCTCAACTGCAGAGAAAAATAAATGTAGTTTAGGCCACCATTCATTCCTTCTATTCATTCATCCTTTCTGAGTTCCAGTGCCTACACAGGGTTGAGGGGTGTTGGAAATTATAGCCATCCACCACGCAGAATGTATAAGGGAACACTCTACACAGGTCAACAAAAAAACAGAAACATGCTGAGTCATACGTAAACCTGTGGGTAATTCAGGGTGTCCAATCCACCTGACTCATAGTTATAGCTACTTTGGCATCTCCAGTCTACTTAATATGCATGCCAAGGAAGAATGCAGACATAGTGCCACTTTAGAAACTTGGCATTTCAGCCATAGAAACAATTCAAAACTGTTTCTAACACATATCGAGTGTATACTGGGTGTTGGCAAATGTACGTAAACATAGTTTTCCCCATTAAACTTGTGACTACAGTATTAACATTGCTGTTGACTCAGTGTATCGTACTTTCCTTTTCACCAAGCCTTTTACTTTGCACTTTGGCTTAAAAAGTTGGCAAGATGTCGATACAATCCTTCCAAGGAAGTAAAGCTGGGCTTACCACAGTATGTCCCAGGTGGACAGATGTTGCCTGTTTCTCCATCTGTTGGTCTGGCCTCAGTGGCTCCTCCTACACAATAATACCCAGGAGAGCAGGGGCCCATTGGCAGAGCTAAACCTTTTGAGCAAAATGACTAAATTGGTTATTTTGATTGTGAACAGCCAAAAAAATATTATCTATAAGTTCGCGAGAGATTGGCATCCCCTCAAGTGGAACAACAAGAATATTTCAGAAACCTCCTGGAACTGAACTGTCCAATTTACTTATTTACTTTTTTAAATACATTATACAGCAATGAAATCACATGCCACAGATTTGTCATAACTGTAACATCGATATACATAGAGGCAGAACACACAATCTATAGCTGCATAGGCCAAATGGAGAGCCAAACCCATTCTGCACATTGTGTTTATGTGCTGAAAGAAAAATGATTTCCTTGCTACTAAAATTGATCCTTAAGTATGATTTCACTGATTCATCTACACAAGGCATTTTGTAGAAGGTATAGCAGCAACTTTCAACTTCATTCTCAAAGTATTATTTTGATGATATTATTTTATATAATATACATATAATTTTATTTCTTTTTCACAAATTTAGCTGAGAACCTATATGTAACAATATGCCTATTGTAGCCTAGAAAACTGTGTTTGTGCACCTGAGACATTACAGAAGGTTCCGGGTGGGCAAGGTAGGGGCTCTGAGCTGCCTAAGGGGCAATAAAATCCTGCCTGGCAGCGCCCCCCTGTGGATGTAGCTGGACAAAGACAGTTGGCATTTGTATAATTGTCAAGGTCAAAGGGCTGGGAGTTCCACGCTGCAGAGACACAGAACCAACCTGAGAGGAACAAACAGCAAGAAACAAAGCAAGATATCACAAACTCTGTGTGATATAGAAAAGATCCTGCAGCTGACACGTCTAAGCCTTAGTGAAACATGACTTTCTCAACATATAAAGATATATATATATATATATAATATATATATAATATATAATATTAATATATATATATATATATATATATATATATACACTCAACAGATGGTGATACAGAGCAAGGTGGCAGAGATAAGACATTGTTAAGAAAAGTCTTAATAAACCAGTTACTCAGGCTTCCACATCAGTCTATCACGTGTGCATTATGTGTCTGATGTGTTGAAGTTCATTTGCATCTTTGCACATAAATAAATAATACACAGAGAATTATTTAAAAGCCGTTGTTGTTGCTGAAGTGTGGCTGGTGTTGAGCTGTGATGTTTCGTGTTTCATGTGCACTCTTTGTTCCCTACTCTAAAATCTTCCAGACTGTTTTGCTGGGCCCCGGAGACACGTACGCTGGCACAGAGGACAAAGTCCTGACACTGAGAAACTAGGCTGCAAGCTGTGATTGTATCTTTGGAACAAATGAACAAAGACAATGTTACTGACCAGCTTTGCATTTTCCAGACACTTTGGTCAGCCTTTCCTTCTCACAGTAGTGTCCTGGAGGACAAGGCAGGCAGCTGTCCAGACTCTGCGTCATGGGCTCTGGGTTGTAGTATCCACGTGGACAGGGAAACTGGGTGGCATGCTTAGTTCCTACACATGTAATGCAATTAGATATAAACAAGTGCCATGTGTGCAACTTCTTTTCTATTATTAAAGCTGGGGACAATAACTTACTGAAGCTGAAACCAGCTTTCAGTTCAATACGAAGCTCACACTCTGCTTCTTTTCAGACTAAGCTGAACTTTTACTAATCATTCATTCTAATAAAGAATCATAACCATGACCACAGTTTTGGGGTGATTGTACCATCAGGGCAGTAGAATCCAGGTGGACAGGGAAACTTGGAAAAATTGGCGGTCCTTTCTGGACAGTAGTACCCAGCAGGGCAGCGGGAACACACTGACTGGCCTGTGAGGTTGTTGTATGTTCCAGCAGGGCAGGGCAATGGGCTAGCACTACCCTCAGGGCAGTAATGAGCAGTTGGGCAAAGCCCTCCTTTTGCGCCTGGAGAGGAAAAACCAATTAGATGTGGAAATGTACTGAAATTATGGCTGCTAAGCCCTTAATGTGATAAATCTCGTGATAACGCATGATTAATTCAGTAATCGCTCATTCAACAAAACACCCTCACACATTCTATTTCCTGTATTTATCAGCATCTGTTTCTCTTCTCTCTAAAGCCTATTCATAACATTTATATTCACACATTATACATTAGCTCTGCTTTACAGGAGTTTTAATTCATGTAAAGCATGAATTAACATACATTGATTAATTATAGCTGTGCTGACATGGAATTGCATAAGCTGAATCAAGAAAACCTGCGCTTGTTGTGTCTCCCCCTGGACAGTAGAATCCAGTCTGACATGGGCCAGATGGACGAGTAAGACCTGCAGTGCCACAGAAGTGACCCGCTGGACATGGACTACAGCCAGAGGTGTCCACCAGATGAAGACTGCAACCATACAAATGTAAACACAAATGCGCATAAACATTTACAGGTCCATGGTATAATAGTGTGTGTAATATTTTGACCAACACACCTAGAAGAGAAGGTCCCTGGCGGACAAGGCATAGGCAGACTGGTGCCCTCAGGACAGTAACTTCCCTTCGGGCATGCTCCTCCTACTCCTGTGCTGAAGTTGCCATCGGGGTTCTGAAAGTTCACGCCTGGAAATGTTGCACATTTTGGTCACATTTTAGCTGTGAAAGTCGGTTTAACAGCACAAAGGCACTGAACACGCTGTATAATAGATTTTGTGTACCAGCTATGCAGTAGTAACCGGCCTGACAAGGCCCAGAGGGTTCAAACAGACCCCAATCCTCACAATAGAAGCCTGTAATTGAAGCAGAGAAAAGAAAACTTCACTGCAGTGGTAATAATTAGAAGCATTTATTGAATCACGTCATAAATTACTCCTTGTTTAGGTAATTAAATGTGGTAAGTCATTCTGCCATTATCTCTTAATTATAGCAATTAGCTTTAAAAACCCCAGTTCATAAATGACAAGTTAATATATTAAAATCTAATTCAGCTAACCACTGTATCCACAGATTCCCAGTATCATTCAGGCAGTTTAAAAAAAAAAGCATGTTACAATACTCTCACCTGCTGGACAAAGGAGGCACTGCTCCACTTGACTGAGACCAAACTGAGGACTGTATGTACCAGGTGGGCAGGGTAGTATACCTTCAACGCCACCACCAAGACAATAGTGTCCCACCGGACATGGCTGGACACCTTCTCCAGATAGGCAATATGTTCCTATGGGGCAGTCATCGCACATTTCTGCCCCTTTAAACAAAAGAGAATAATTTAATAGTGAAGTGACATCTGCATTTAAAATCACAAATATGATTTATTTGTGTTTAATTATATTTTTATACCTGTTGTGTTTGAGTAAGTCCCATCAGGGCAGAGAAGAGGAGATGCTGAGCCCATTGGACAATAATATCCAAGTGGACAAATGTCACCTGTCACACCATCAGAGGGCGCTGAAACCACTGCCCCTCCAGAACAATAATATCCTATAAATCAGAAGATGCAAAGGTTTAGTGACTTCTTAAACACTGGAGAGCGTTTCATCCAATCAGTTTCTGTTTTTCTGCTTATTTTAGTGATAGACACTATGGCAATGACAGATATACACAGATCACATCAGGCACTGCTGACACTTCATTACCTATATCACAAATTTCAGAAGGCTGGCTGAGTCCAGTACTGTTACAGTAGAGTCCTGGGGGGCAGGATAAACAAGAGGACCAGGTTTGGGCTCCCACTGTGTTACTCCAGGTTCCCACAGGACATGGGTGCTGCTGTGGGTACTTGGTTCCTTGTGGACAGATGTAGCCTGCAGGACAGACACCGCCAGACGCCACAGCCACCTGTGAGAATGATGGGGTGATTATAAGGTGACTGAGAGCAATTAATCGGCAACAATTTTCTAAATAGTCCTTAATAATAGTAAATATCTTTGGGGTGTTTTAGTGTTGAACCAAAGAAGCATTTTGAAGAAATTAGCTTTGGAATACAAAGAAGTTTGATCATCTGACTGTTCTAGTCAGAAGTTTAAAAGTTAAAGCTGTGGGCTGTTCGAGTTGGAAGCTGTCATTAATTTCCTACGCACTATCAGCAGCCTATCCAAAAAGCACTTGGGTTATTTATTTAACTAATGCAATTCAAACTAAACAGGCCTTTAGATTCATGCTCATATCAAATGAAATTAGCAGTCAAAGTGTGTGGAAAATGAATAGCTGCCATCAAATCAACTGCACGACACTAAAGCAGACACGTTCAACTTAAAAACCAGGACATTTCCACCTCTTTAATTGCCTTCAGTTTTTCCTTTTCTGTGCTCCTTCCCCCGCTCATATACTGCACCATGCTGACAAATTGCTTCACTTGAGCAAAAGTGAATTATAAGCATAACCAGAGGTGTGGACTCGAGTCACATGACTTGGACTCGAGTCAGACTCGAGTCATTAATTTTATGACTTTAGACTTGACTTGAAAAAATGTTCTAAGACTTGTGACTTGACTTGGACTTTTACACCAATGACTTGGGACTTGAATTGGACTTGAACCGGTTTACTTGAAAAGACTTGATATTTTACCCCAAATATAAAATTTAACATGCATATTATATAGAGATTGAAAATGTGACGTCATTCACGGGTAGAACCGCAAAGGATTCTGGGAACTCGTGGCAAGCGGTACTAGCGCACGCAGGCTTTCAATTAAAATCAGTTATACAGCGATAAAAAGAAACACAAAAATGTCAAGAAGCTGTTGTATTATTAACTGCAATAGCCGGTCGCATGACAGCCACGGGAAGCCGACGGGTAAAGAGATCGGTTGTTACGAAGCAAGTCTGGCGCTGAACAGAAATTGTCGCGCTATGCTCCTTTGTTTATTGTGCATAAATAGTGAATTGTCCTGACACAATATTGCGTTTCGCTTCTGTTATTATGGTACATTGACAAAAACATATACTTTTATTCACAGGATAAAACAGGTTTTTTGTATCACTAATTGCCCAGTACGATTACAGCATACAGTATTATTGTCACTGCTACATTTCTGTGATGCTACCAGAAATTATTTCCACTACTAATTAATTACCGTTGAGCTCAAAGGTTATATTAATAAACGGTTAACGAATGTGTATTTATGACGACGATTTGTGAGACTGGTAAACTTATGATACGTACGATGGTCTTTCGTTCTACACGGTGCATTTCAAGGTCCTGCACCCATCCGTCGGTAAACTGTACCTGGGCTTGTTGCAGTGACCTGAAGTTACTAAACTTCATGAGTGTATGCACTCACTCCAAGAACCGTATGATTATAAATATGCATATAAATATGCTACGATGAGATAGCTGACTTCATCTAACTAGCAAATGTTGTCCAGGCTACGTTGGTGATGCAGTTTTTTTAATGTGTATGATATTTTTGTCATGCGATTTTAAAGCCGGTCCTACAACCGCATCCAAGAATAACATGCAGCTTATCTCAGAACTGTCGGTGAAAATTATTCTTGGAGCTAGGTTTAATTGAGCTGCATTTTAAAGAGGTGCAATTTCACAATTTGTGTATATTTTCTAAGTTCACTATTTTGTCATGTGTTGAGAAAAACACAGATTTTAAAATTACATGGTCTAATATTTACATTTAGCATAACTGCAACATTATTTTTTCGTTTTTTTTTTTTAAAGACTCGAAAGGACTTGAAATTCAAAGTTTCAGACTTGTGACTTGACTCGGACTTTTACACCAGTGACTTGAGACTCGACTCTGACTTGCCTGACATTACTTGAGACTTGACTTGAGACTTGAGGATAAAGACTTGAGACTTACTTGAGACTTGCAAAACAATGACTTGGTCCCACCTCTGAGCATAACTCAACAACAAGCCCGTAGAAGAAGAAAAAAGTCAAATATTTCGCCATTTGAAACTCTTCGGAAATCGATATGGTAAATATAAAGACATTTGAGACCAGTGTCTGAAAAGACCATAAACCAATAAAAGCATGACAATAAATATATGATATAATATTTCAGTACCTGTAAAATAAGGAAACTGTAATTCTTAATGAGTCTGCAAATACAGATACTGTCCCAAAAACAAATAACTCATTCTGAGATGAGCTACTACTTAAAATGCCTTTATAGAATTACAGTTTTCTGTTAATCTCCAACAAAGAAAATCATCTGATCCTTTTCAAATAAGATAATATTACCACATAGTAAATAAAATTATTATTCATTAAATCTTACTGGTGAGGCAGTGGAAGCTCCAGAGGTGCAGTAGTGTCCTGGGTCACAGAGACCCTGAGGTTCAGAAAGACCACTTCTGCTACAGAACAAGCCTGCATCACATGGCCGGCAATGCTGCACAGCATCACCACCAGGCTGGTCAGAGTAAGAGCCCTGAATAATAATCACATGGAATCATTTTAATAGGGTGGGATTTATGGGAGGAAATTCAAAATCATGAAGACAGAGTGAAGAAGTAAAACGTGCAGCGAACACTGACACTCTACAATGACACATCCACAATTTCACACCACATGAGAACATGAAGGTACTCACTGAAGGACATGGGTGAGCAACAGTGGATCTTAGAGGACAGTAGTGTCCTGTGGGACACAGAGGTGGCTGGGACAAGCCTGTGTGGTTACACAATCTGCCTCCCTGACACTCCAAACATGACTGTGCACCTCGACGCTGCCGAGCACAGACAAAAGAAATAACCCTTAATATACCATTAGCCTATCATCCAATCATAAAGAAATACAGGCTCAGTGTAGCAGCACTTGGCATGTAGTATATCCTACCGGCTGAAAATAACCAAGAGGACATGGCTCTGCCCTGGCTGCCCCTTTTGAAGTGTAATGCCCTTCCTCTGCTTCATTCTGAACAGGTGACGCTGAGCCACCAGTGCAGTAGAAACCAGGAAAACAAGGGGCTGATGGTGACGTGTTGTTAGAACCTGCACAATAAAAACTGACAGGGAGAGAAACACACTGACTCATGGAGTAGAGGTTTCAGCTGTACATAGTCCTCCAAAACAAATCGATAGGATTACCCTGGCGGACAGCTAGTACACTCCTCAGGTCTGCTGAGGCCAGTGCTGTTGCTGAAAGTGCCAGAAGGACAGGGGAGAGGAGAGGGCGAGGCTAAAGGACAGTAACTTCCTGCCGGACACAGACCTCCAGTTGGTCCATCGACAGGAGTCTGGCAATAAGAGTGAAGAGAGGCCAAAAACTTACTGCCGCGTAATGAAATCCTACAACATAAAGTTGTTATGTGTTGTATTTGTATTTGTTGATCCCAACAAGTAAAGAAAATTATTGGTATACCCTGAATAAATACAGAATAAATGACTGTAATAACATTAGCATACAGCAGACTTGGCTCCCTCTCTGCAGTAAAAACGATCTCTGCAGCTTCCAGAGGGCTCTGAAAGTCCCACTCCAGTGCAATACTGGCCTCCGCCACAAGGGGTGCATTCAGACCTATCACTGAGAGCAGAGCGAGAACTGTAGGTTCCTTCAGGACAAGGTTCAGGAAGAGAAGTGCCGTCTGGACAGTAAAACCCCTGAACGGAGGCACAGAAGGAGAAAAGGAGCCATTTGTGCCTCTGGTGTATTTGACATAAACAGATTCAAGCACACTTAAAAACTGTCTCACCCATACAGCAAAACAGTTTTTTAAAAGTCTTATTCTTACTTGTGGACATACTGAAGGAGTGTGAGTTCCTGGGCTGCTACAGTAATGCCTGGATGGACACAAAATACATGCCTCTCCACTTTGACCAAGTGTGTTGTTTCTGTATTTGCCAGCTTGGCAGGGGTAGGTGAAGGGGTAACCGGTCCCAGCGGGGCAATAGTGGCCATCGGGACACTCCTCTGTCTTAATATAGGACAACATAATAGTGGTTATGGTACTTACTTTGAACATGCAGTCTTCATCTAAAATCACTATTAGGTAGAAACTTGTGAACAGTATTAACAAACTGACTATAATTGGTAATGGTAATGCTGTCTTTCTGATCATAAAAAAATCTATGGTCTTACAGGCCTGGTAATAGGCTGCTCCTTAGGTTGTTGGGAGTAACAATACTTCCCCTCAGGACACTGGATACACTCACTGGCATCACGCAAGCCAGGAAATTCACTGTAGGTGCCATTGGGGCAAGGAATGGGATTGGGATCCTGTGAGTAAAGACTAAATGTAGTTTAAGAGGTCAAATGTGTCCAAATATGAAAACATAAGTACATAACTTTAATTTTTTTTTAAGTCTCTCCTGAATTTATCAGTCTGTGACTCACAATGCCTCCTCCGGGGCAGAAGAAACCTCGAGGACAGAGGGTGGCTGATCGCTGGGGGTCTCTGGCCAAACCCTGAGAGCAGAGAAAACCTGGAGGGCACACCATGACACTTAGCATGGCTTCCTCACTAGTGGTCTCATTACTGCAGAAGTGGCCCTGCAGGCATGGAGAACACTCTGCAGATCCCTCATCCTACACACAAGAGAACGTGAAGAAAGAAAGCTGAAGTTAAAGATATCAACCAGTATGGGGGAGGGATACAGCAAAATAGACGTTGAAAACGCAAAGGAGAGGGGGATCTAATTTGGAAGATGCTGGAAAAACACTGACACTGCTTCAATATTGCGAGCAAAATATTGATTTATGAAAGAAATTGACTTCAAAAACTCCTCTACCTGACATTTACTGATATACGTTACTAAGTGAGCAATGCAAGACGATATCATGTGGGTGGGAAATCTAAAAATAGGACAATCAAAACAGCTACTGAAGGATGAGAATACAAAGGCTTTAGTTTCCAGAGGTTCTGTCAGGGGTCCAGTCACATTGGATGTTTTATAGTTAAGATCTTACAGAGTAGCTGCCAGCTCCACACACTCTGGGGCTGACAGTGGCTGAGTGGGGACAAAAATAGCCAGCAGGGCAAGAAGAGCAGTCCTCAAGCCTCCGACCTCCTTTCAGACGGCGAAATGTAGAGCTGGAGATGCAGGGCAATACACTAAATCACACTCATTAAACCAGCTTAATGCTAACAAAAATCCATATCGTCATCATTCTCACATTTTTCTTTATGACTGACACACAATCACTGCTTACGGTGGGCAAGGTGAAGGTTTGGAGGTGCCCTGCTGACAGAACGAGCCCTCGGGACATATCAAGCAGTCATCTCTGCATCTGTTACCCATTTGGATGCTGTAGGTGCCCTCAGGGCAAGGAAACTGGGTGCCATATGCAGTCCCTGGTGATGCAATATCGACATGATTATATCAACACGAATGACTCATGAATACAGCTCGGGTAGAGAAAACAAATCTCATTCTACAAAATTAATTTCACATGGAAACCTGTATTTATCTCTAAGAGCATGCAATGCTCATAAAGGATAAAGAATGTTAGCTTTTTTAACACACATATATACATATATAACATATTCATGTTTACCTTCAGGACAGTAGTGTCCAGAGCTGCATCGACCTGATGGAGCTCCTGAACCAGCCAAACAGTACCAGCCATGTGGACATGGCTGGCACTCACTTTCAGCCTCCAATCCACTGTGACCGCTCCATGTACCCACAGGACATTTGTACTGGGTGGGGAACATAGTTCCAGCAGGACAATAATGTCCAGGAAAGCAGAGAAGTGGGGGTCTCTGGATATCTCCAGTTCCTGACAAATAAGAATTAACACAGACAAGTAGATTAAGGTGACACTAATATATGACAACGTTATTAAACAAATATCAACATGTGACAAAACTTGCATTTTCTTTTGCTTCGTCTTCTTTTTTCTTTTTTTTAATAATGACTTTTGTGGATTTTAGTTGTTTAAATGCGACATCTTTTAAAAAGAAGCAGTGATGATCAGTTCTTAGTTAAAACATTTACTGTAATGTGAATGTCATTTATTCCGGCTGATTAGCAAACTGTAACAGTTGTGTAGTCGTAATCATAATGCATTTGAAGTCTAGAAAAACAGAAACCAAATATAATGTCTCATATCACAAATATATACACTCAGTTCGCACAGTATAGTAATACAGTTGTATACATAATTGAGCTTTGTATGAAAACCTGACCTGAATTCATATCTTCAGATACTATGAAATATCAAAGAGTACTTTTAAAGGTTATCTGAACATCTATATGAAATGTCACCTCGAAGACAGGCATATCGTGCTGGACACTGCTGACACTGTGAGCGGTCAGTTAGGTCAGTGCGATTGCTCAGTGTCCCCGGTGGGCACGCATTGGATGGCGCGTTTGGTTTTGAAGACCCAGGAGGACACACAAACCTGTCAAGATACGGACAAATTGATCAAAGTCATAGAGTAACAATGTCAAGGTGGGTTGAAAAGGAGCAACATAAAAATCAATGTCTCAGTGGCTAAATGCAAAAGTTACAGGGCTCCCTTATGTCAGATTTACAGTACTCTAAATATAGGAATACAATAGCACTAAAGCATGCTTGATTAAAAAAAGAATAAAACAACAACATTTTTTTAATCTTGAGATTGCAACTTACCCTTGCATGCAGTCTACATCAGGGGCTCTCAGGGCTACCTGTGTGCAGGCCTTTCCTGCATAGCACTCTCTGCAATCAGCCACCTCATCCTGACCCTCTAAAGGGTTGAAGGAGCCCGGTGGACAGGGCACTGGGTCACTTGTCCCCACAGGACAGTAGAAGGCAGCAGGGCATTTGAGACAGTCTTTCACACCTGGGGGGAAATCCTACTGTCATGGCAAAGATACTACAGGATTAAGGCAAACAGTAAATCTGCTCCATAAATTCCTATGCTGTACTCACTGCTTGTGCACATAGTTAGGTTTCTCTTTACAGTCACCCATCATTTTTCTATACTGGGCTCACTGCTACAGCTTGCCATCGGCAGTTGTTTTTGTATTGCTAAATTAGATGTTTTTCTATTTGCCCTCTCAGTGTCCATCTGTTGCAATAAACAACACCTATATTTTTATATAATCACTGGGATTTGCTGTGATAGAGCGCTATAATATCATATTAGGCTGGGGCTTTTGTGAAGGAGTATAAATTCATTTCAAAAGAAAATATTTAGTTTGACTTACTAAATATAAAACAGAGCTTTGTGTCTACTATAGTGTATATATAAATCAGTAATAATAATAATAATACTTATAATTATTATTATTAATAATAATAATAATAGCATACTTAAACTCACTTATCGCCCCTTGATGAGGGGTGAAGGTGCCTGGAGGACATATAACTTCTTCCAAAGTACCAGCAGGGCAGTATCTACCCCGAGCACAGGGCAAACCAGGACTTGATGACCCTGTTTACAGATACGCACACACACTCTAAAATCTATATTTCATCTTATTTCTTCAACTATGAAAATAGTTACTTTCTGGGACACATCTTAATATTTTTGCCAAGTGAAGTCAGTTTGTTAATGCTGAGACTTACCTGCAGGACAGAAGCGTCCTTCCCTACATCTCTTGCATCCTGCCCTACTTGTCTGACCCAGTTGTTCCCCCGCTGTGCCAGTGGGGCAAGGTGACCCCTGCGGGGTGGCAGTGCCCTCTTCACAGTAATAGCCTTGTGGACACAGGAACTGGGAGGTGGGTCTCTGTGAGGTACCTTCCAGACAGTAAAACCCTAGAGAAAAAGTATTTTTTATACAATGCTATGTATAACACTCTTCATAGAAGAACATTTTAAGAGGATATTATACAGTCATACAGTCCAGATAAACTATTACATTTGCTTTCCAAGGGTTAGGTATGTTATAGATATGATGAGACATACTCTTCTGCACATATATAGTTTTTGCACATGGACAAACAATTTTACCACTTGTCCAGATGCTTTGCCACCATTCCTTTACCTGCAGGACAGATTGTGCAGTCTCTCAGTCTCTGCAGGCCTTCTTTAGGGCCGTAAGTACCTGCAGGACAGGGTATAGCTACCCCTCCCACACAGTAATGACCTGCGGGGGTAAAACACAGGTACATTTGACATTTCTTTGGTAAGTAAAGGAAATTATAAGATGAATGATAACATGCAGCACTTAACACCAACCTAATGGACAGACCATACAACCAAACTCTTCTGTCACATCTTTGTATGTTCCTGGTCGACAGGTGATGGACTGGCTGGCTCTGTGGACTGGCTGGCTCCAGCGGGGGGTTATAGCTCCACCACACAGTATGGATGTGTTATTACAGCTGCTGCAGTAAGCCTGTCCAGGTGTAGAAGACCAACCAGGAGGACAGGGAAGTGGCTGAGACATTCCACTATCTGGACAGTAACTTCCTAAGAAACAAAGAAAAAAAGTGTTTTTTACATTTTCATGAGAACTTTTTAGTTGTAAATAAAGCTATTTATATCAAACTTCTTTAAATGTTTGGGAGCAGAAGATTTGTTTTGTTTGTCTTTTATACCTGCTGGACACTGCACACACTGGATCGTACACATAGTAGAATAAAAGCCCAGAGGACAGTCGTTACACACGGTGTGATCTGGATTGGGCTCCTTGCCAGGTCCACACTATAAGACATGTTGACAAAAGAGAAGAAAAAAAAGAATGCCTCAAATGCACAGAATGTTGGAGGATTTAACTTCTAATCCACTATTATTAGGTCTGACCCTATAAGGGAAACCCGAGGTGCAGACAGAATCCACAGGACAGCTCAGACACTGCAGGACCCCCTCTGGCGAATGCTGTCCTGGGGGGCATAAATAAAGAATCCCAATGGTTGGATCACATGAGAAGCCTGCAGGACACAGCTTACAATCCACTCGTTCCTCTGAACTGATGAGATCTGGAAAACAAGGCTGCGACATAAAGAAATGAGCAATAAGAGCACACATGATGACAACAAAACAGCTTTGTAACTAATTATTCATTCCTGCATCACTCTGCAGTCACTTGTCTTCACTTTGGCTCTTCTATGGGCTCTGCTATGACAAGTCATCATACTGTAGTTTAAAAAACATGCATTTTCTCTTAATTTGAAAATAAAGCATGAAGCCAGAAGTGTTTTTGTTGTTTTGTTTTGCATTAACATGTCTTACCTTGCAGTCAGTGATACTGCTCTTCCCTGTGTACATGTTGAATGTTCCTGCTGGGCATCTTTGCGGTGCAGGTGAATTGCCAGAGCAGCTATAAAACAAAAATAATTTATAATTTGTATAATTTATTATCCATTTTATAGAAAACTCTCTTACTAGTGAAAGAATACAGATCTAACAGTTCAAAAATGGTTGATGACTCACAAATGACCAGAGGGACACTCTAAGCAAAGCTGGTGGGAGAAGTATTTTCCTCCTGGACACTGATCCACATCTGTTTCCTCACTGAGGGGGTAGTCTGCACTCCCTTCAGGCGTTACATAAATTATTGTTAGAACAATAGATAGAACATTCTCGTGCAGTCAGTGTGGTTTTGGTAGTTATTTAGTTTAATTTGTCAATATTTAAAAAGGAGTTGCTTACCTGAAGAAACTCCAGACTCCGTCCGCAGTAAAAAGATAGCAAAAGCTAAAAAGAAGCGCAGGTGTATTATTTCCCATGAACACATTATTGCTGAATCACTTAGAAGTTGGTAACAACTAAGTTAACGTTAAAGACTTAATGGAGTTAGTCTCCCAGAGTGATCGTTTAAAGACTTGAAAGTGAGAGGCCCCCAGCCACTAAAAGTGAAACGTGCATGAAATCTGATTCCCAGGTGGTTGCTTCAGCTGACAATAGTGTGCAGTAATGTTCGGTAACTATATCTGCTTCTTTCAATAATGCATGACGCGTTGAAGTTCACCTAGATGGTGTCTCTGCTGGTGGATCATTTAAATTATTTATGTTGCTCTTGTAAGTCATTAAGATGCAATAAAGAAGAAACTGGGTTTTTTTAAGGTATTAAAAATGAAATTAAATCAATTCCATTGCCAAACATTAAATGTTTAATCACATAAGACCAATTATATTTTCACGAGGTAAAAATTTTAGGATAAATTATTTAATTACGGTGTAAAAGGAAATTCAAATGCAGCCTCTGTGGGTGCAGTGAGGACTAGTGGATCTGCAGACATTTTTGCGCCTGCACTTTGCAGGATGTCAGGTGCAATAAATGGAAAGTTATGAATATTTTTAAACAGCAACGTAATCTTTGGGTTACCACTTCCTGTACCCTCACTCAAGCGTTGGAACATGTGTGTGGGTACTTAAGTGTGTTTGTGCAGGTGCATGCATCACCAACCTACAGGAGCACAACAGATCCAGTTTCATCTTTTGAGGCAGGAGAAAATTAGAAAAACAGAGAACAACAATGAACAGCTCAATCTATCTCACTTTACTCTTTTTTTGGATGACACGAGGTAAAGTTTATATGATGTTTGTTATTGCCCTGGGCTTTAGATATTTCAAACACATTTATTTAGACAAATGTGCGCTATTTGAGGTAAAAAAAATTTATTACCTTTCTTCACAGATTGTGTAAACTGTATTTACACGAAGACACCCATTGATTTAGTGACTGTGGAGTTGGGGGACTCCGTTACATTAAATTGCACTTACAATTGCTCCAGTGGATTCGTTCAAGGCTACTGGAGTAAAGCGCTCGACATCTTTGGCTGCCACATGATGTTTAGAGAAGGCAGCTTTTGCACAGTGTTTCTTTGTCTCACCAATGTGTCCGCGGGACATCTGAAAAACAACTACACTTGCTACACAGTAGATAAAGAGGATCCTCAGCTTCAACAAAAAACAGAGCGTCTCTTTTTGCTTCAGCTTCGAGGTAGATAAACTTTAGTTTCTGCAAATATGTGCAGCTGCTCAATAAAGAGGTAAGCAAATTGGATTTCACTTTAACTTTTCCTTTTTTCAGCTCAGAGAAGTCTTCCAAACACAGATGCTCCAAAAAATTACAACAAAAATGGTAAGAAGCTGTGATTTGAAGAGATGCAAAATTTTTCATAGCTGTAGCTGAACATTTTTGAGCATGACTTTCATTTAATATATTGCATTCTTCATTCTTCAGCATCTTTTCCTGCCAAGCCAAATTCCTCTGGAGGTGAGATGGGACTCTGAAACAGTGGATATTATGAAAACTTTTAAAGAGAATCATTGTTACTTATTAACATCTGTATGGAGAAGGGAGAAGTAAATGTTTGCCTTTCGATCCAGTTCAGTCTAAGTTAATACTGTTGTTTCCATGTTAACAGGAGAATTTACTGGAATTAAGGTTTTGGCAACAGTTTCTGTAGCTGTAGCCCTGGTTCTTGCAGCATTGGCTGTATACCTGTGTTTTAATCGGAACAGACAGAACTGGAACGGTAAAGGTGATCACAAGATATTACACTGTGAACATACACCAGCTTTAAAAAGTTCTGAATGATAAAATATACACAACTGTGTCCGTATAACTATTTAACATTATATTGATAATATCTCATATTCCAGAGGAGCCTGTTGTGTCCAAATTGGAGTGAGTACAATTTCAGAACTTCTCTTTATTTAAATCTGAGTTCAATTACCTTTAAATGTTAGACTTGCAATATTCTTTATTGGGCCTTTTGCTATATGTTTTCCTTTTCAGCTCACCACAATCACCACATGTAGCCCAGCTACAGATAAAAGGTAAACAGTTTTAAATATCAAATGTAAAAGCGACAAATACGAGCTTCAATTTTTGTTCCTTCTATTATTCATACCTGTCCTATTTCTCAGGGTCAACACAAAGTGAAAGGGTGACTTTGAGGATTCCTCCGCCAGGTAAGACAATCTCAACACTTTTCATTTGAATGACACCTTATCATCATCTACCCTATAGAAACAAAGACAATAACTAATGAAACAAATGCTTTCTCTGACCCAGATAATGAGAGTGATACTGAAGTTCCTTACGCTGACATTATGATCACCGTCCGTGGTGTCAGCACACCAGAACTCACTCAAGTCGGCTACCTGATAGCCGGAGACCAAAAAGAGGTGAGAGACAAAGTAGTAAACATGTTTGTTACTTGTGTTTCACTGAGCTCAAAACGTTATTTCCCATGCTCTATTACCAGCTACTTGCAGTGTGCTGCAGCTCACATACCTGTGCATGATTCTGAATTGCTAATTGCAGAATATATAAGCAATGAGATTCATTTTATATCAGAAACGTTCATGTGTTCATCTTACTTGTTCAAAAAGTTTCTTTTACTCATTTCATATGTGAGGAATGCTATAAATAAAGCTAAAGCAAAAATAGAATATTTTTTAAGGTTTTAAACAAATTGTGGCTTTTTTTTATTTACGTGTAATTGTAAGGCATGTGTGCAAAGCAATTTTTTGAGTGGTTACCTTCTTTTAAGTGGTTACCTTGTATAGATGTGCTTTGATAATTTAGAAGAAGAAAAAAACAGAAAAGCCTACAACCAGTATTTCTATTACCAGGGTTATTTTATCTAACTAAAGGTTAACTAAAAACTAAAAGTGGATGTGAAAACAAACAAACAAACTTTAATTAACTCAAAAACACAAACTTGAAAAACTAAATAACTAAAATAAAAAAAAATAAAGGAAGTTTTAGTATTTGTTAGTTTGGTAAAAAAGAAAATGTTATCACAGCTTATCTGATGAGGTTTTGATTACTAAGACTTTGAATGTCTACAAGACTGAGTCAAGTTTTTTCAAAACGTTCTGTGTTTTTATTATAATACCTGTGCTGATTTCCATTAATCTTGCCCATATATACGTATATTTTAAAAAAAAGTCTAAAACTGTAAATAAATAAATAAATAAAAGCTAGTAAAAAGTGCGAAAGTATAAAAACTCTGTTTATAGCACAAACACATTAGGGGTCTTTTTTTATCCTTCTTCCCCTCCAGCGGTGGGGAGATAAACCGAGGTGTCACCTGCAGGCCTCTCGTTCAGCTGACAGACTGCATGTTCCCCAGGTCAGAGAGGTCAGCCGCAAGATGAGCACCAACTCTGAGTATGCAGTGATCACCTACGCCTGACTTCGACTGCTGCTGCAGAGGAATGTGAAGAAAAAATAGAGATGTGTTTTTTTATGTATATATGGTTTTGAAGGATGTACTTGTTTTCCATTTATGCTTTTTTTATTCTATTGTTCGCGTGGTGTATCTGTATTGACGTTTATATTCAATAAAGCTGTCATTTCTTGACTTTCATGTCATTTGACCCTTCCTGATGGCCGTAGTAGCGCTAATCGTTGCTTAGAAACAACTATCAACAAAACACTCCGGGGTGAACAGTTGGTTTGGGGTTGCTGCCAGTTTTTAGGTATCCACTGTGACTAATTCATAAAAAATTTTGTTAAGGTTTCTGGTATTCTGAAGTCAGTTAATGAGAGTCGTTTAGAGCTAGCTGTCACAGACGTTTGTGCCCCCTTAAAAAATGGCAGTGCCTTTCTCAAACACTCACCTGCGGGTCCCGCGAGGATTTGGTACCATACTAGAGGGACTGACCCGTGAAGTCCTACGAGACCAGCCTGAAGACATCCCCAAATATGCCGCGCAGTACTTCGAAGCTCTTCTAAAAGAAAGACAAGGTAACTATAACTTTCTAACTTTTAACGTGATGAAGTAACAGTATGTCCCGTTCAAAGATTTGTGTATGTTTCTTTTCTTCGCTAAATACTTGTAATAGTTTGCCTATCATATTTCCCATAAGCTCCTCGAAATTACTAGCATGTCCTTGTGACTTTGCATAATGTAAATGAAACTGAATTGACCTGAAAAGTACGGCTTTTCTGTCATTGCAGAGAGTGGCATGGACCCTGCCGAGTGGGCTGCTAAACTGGAAGATAGATTCTACAACAACCATGCGTTCAAAAGCCTTGAGGTAGTTGTATAAGTTTAGGTAATGGTCGCACCATACTTGTGCAACCTCATTCTCCAAAGAGTTGGACTGCTGTGTAAACTGTAACACGAAACAACATGCAGTGATATACAAGATACTCAATAAGAAAAAAGACAAACCAACTCTGTGTTTACCTGAAAATGGTACCAACAGATATTAAAGGCTGAAAATAACTTTAAATTTAATTAGAATTTTATATAAATGTAATATCTGCTCATGTTTAATTGGACAAAACATTAAAAAAAAATCACCAAGAAAACTGCGGGCTAATGTTCCAAAGACTGGTTTTGAAAGCATATGTTGCCTTTAGTTGCTCGGCATATTATTTCAACAGTTGTTGTTCTTTTTTGTCATATATTGTGGTTCCAATGGGCCAGAAGTTTTTATTGGATGACAGGTTTTAACTGCAAACAGGCCAGTTTAGTTCTCTGACCTATACTGCAAATGTGTGCTGTTGTAAATACAGTGCCTTCTCATTTTTATTTATTTTTTTAGTTTGTCGCACTTAAATGTTTCCAAGAAAAGATTTCATTTATTATGAGAAAAACCTACCTGGTGTCATGACATGGTCTAAAGAAACACAAGAACAGATAAGAAATAAGGTCTGCAAGTAAAAGACAAAAAAAAGTCCACCTCAAAATGGCTCAGAAAAACAAAATCAAGGCTTTGGGTTACCTAGTCAAAGTCTGGACTTAAATTAGATTGATTCCATTTGCTATGACTAATTTCCTTCGGGATTAATAAAGTATTCTGATTCTGATTCTGAAAAACAGGCTGTTCATGCTGCAAAAACCCTAGTCCTCCAATGCGAAATAAAACAAAGACAAACAAGGTTAACTTTTTACAAAATGTGGTCCTGCAATCTGTGAAGCTTGAGATCCTGCCACCAGTGTTTGATAGAGAAAAGAAATCTCATGTGACCATTAAATCTGCTCCTCTACCATCATAAACTAGTACTTGTTGGTCTTCTGAACAGGAGGAGTGCAGCCAGTCCCAGAAGAAGGAGGACATTGTGGACATCATGGACATCCCCCTGGATGATCCCGAGGCCAACAGGGCTGCTGCCAAAATTCAGGCTGGCTTTCGTGGCCACATGATTCGTAAGCAGCTGAAGCCAGAGGTCAAAGAAGGAGATAAGGTGAGCAACATTGTGTTCAACAGCAGCCAGTTGGACTGAGCTTGGGTATGAGAGATATAAGGCAGTTAATGAGGGCTAGGTTGTTTAAGCATAAACCAATTAAACATTTTAGGGAAAATTTTCAGAGTTTAAAAAAATTAATTTACTAAATAAAAAGTTTGATATTGTCTTTGATGCAAGAGGAAATTTTAAGGGAAAAACTCAGTTTTACAAAAGATAAAGGAGTGTTCTGAGAATTAAAGCAAAAAAAAAAATTATAAGTGAAACTAATTATTTTTTCTTCCTCATTCTTCAAACTTGGATCAAGCTCATTGCACCACAGACTTAAGCACAGTCATAGTAAGGAGATTTGAAGAGACATTTCCATGAATTGGACAGCCTGTTCAACAGCAAGACGGCAAAGATCCAACTTTAGTACTACTCCTACATTGCAATAGAGAGACCAATATGACCATTGCTTCTTACAGTCTTGCTGCTGTGTTTTATCGAGAGCACTTTTTGAGTCTTGGGTCTGTCTGATGAAATAATGAGGTTTAAGGACAAAAACACAATTTTTCTCTCATTTCTGGAAATATTCATGACTATTCGAGGATTAATTGCACTAATGTGCCATCTTAATAAAACATCTCTTGAGTCCTACCATTAAAGCAACTGAATAATCAGTACATGATAAGCAAACAAATTTTATGCATGGTCTTAGGCAATTTAACATAGTTTGATGTTTTAGGTATGCTCCAAAACCAGTTTTCCATTTACACAGTAGAGGAAAAAAAAATCAGTTTAAATGGTATATTCGTCTTCTTCTTCTTCTTCTTCTGGCTATTCTTGTTAGAGCTCACCACAGTGGATCTGTTTCCATCTCACCCCATGGTCAGCATCCTCCTTTATCACAGACCCCCGGCATGTCCTCCTTCACTACATCCATAAATCTTATCTGTGGTCTTCCTCTTTTCCTCCTGTTGGATAGCTCCATAATTAACTTCTTTTGTCCAGTACATCTCGCCTCTGTTCATGTCCTAACCACTCTAACGAGCCTTGCCTCTCTAACTTTGTCTCCAAGCTGCTTTACCTAAGTTGACCTTCTGATATACTCGACTTTATGCTCTCCTTCTGTCACAAATCATCTCTGACACTCATCCCCTCCCACTCCACCCTGCCTGCACTCTTTTCTTCTTAAACTCATATACCTTCGCTACCTCTACTCCTTGCAGCTTCACTTACACCTGTCTCCCTCGTATTCACACATATGTAATCTGTTTTGCTTTCCTTCTCTCTCACTGCCTCCTAACATGCCTTCCGCCTTTACTCTTCATTTGTCTTTGGCTAACAGTAGCACAGTTTCCACCGGCACCCTGTTGGCAAACAGCACCAGAGGCGGTCATTGTTAACCTGGGCCCCAGCTGATCCGGTATGGAAATCTCATTCTTGATGTTTGTTCGATTTGGCAAAGATTTTAAACTGGATGCCCTTTCAGCAACCATCCCCATTAATCTGGGCTTGTGACTAGAAGTACACTGGTTTGAGGTGACAGTGAGCCCAACTGCAGTTATGTAAAGCCAATGAGAAGCTCTGTAAGCACAGTTCACTCGAGTCAAAAAAAGACTGTACAGCATCTATGGTTAACTTTAGAAAATATGGTCCTGCGGTCTGTTAAGCATGAGATTCTCCCACCAGTGTTTCACACAGCAAAACTTTCTCATATAAGCATGAAATCTGCTCCTCTACCATCATACTTTCTGGTTCTCTTCACAGGAGGAGTGCAGCCGGCCCCAGGAGGAGGACATCATGGACATCCCCTTGGATGATCCTGAGGCCAACAGAGCTGCTGCCAAAATTCAGGCTGGCTTTCGTGACCGCATGAATCGTAAGAAGCTGAAACCAGAGGGCAAAATAGAAGAGGAAAAGGTAAGTAAAATTGAAGATAGCAGCCAGGGGGCCTCAGGTCAGTGGTGTTCAACTTTGGGATAAGACATGTAAGGCGGTTAAAAAGAGCTAATCCTATCAGGTACAACAACTACACTTAGTGAAATTGGTAAGTTATAAGCAAACTGCCACTTACATTCATCCTGTTGTATTTTACACAGAGCACTTTTGAGTTTTCCCAGTTTGCATTTGAGGTTTTATGAAGTAATGAGGTTTATGGACAAAAACACAATCTTTTTTTCTCATAAATTCAAGACTTTAAACCTCATATAAATATTCAAGACTATCTAAGGAGGCTGAAAGTTTGTAACATAAAAATAGTCATGATGTGCCATCTTAGGGAACAGTCTCTTGGGTCTTGCAGCTAAAGCAATTCAATATTCTATATAAGATAAGAAAACAACTTTTGGCATGCTCTTCAATAATTATTAGCGTAGTTTTGATGTTTCAAGGTGGTTCCATTTACTCCATAATGCAGGAACACAGGCCATTTTTTCCCATTTACACTCCAGGAAAATATTTCCTCTAAATGGTATACATAATTAAATACACCTTTTAGAGCCTTTTTGAGGCTAAGTGAGATTAATGAAAGACGTAGCTGACTAATTTAACCACAGGTGATTTAATCTTTCAGGGGGGTTTTCTGGTATATCTGCTTCCAGATATACTTTAAAACTGCTAGTGATAAAACATTTTCATCAGAGCTTTTTCACAGATGTTTGTAAAGGCAGATTGAATGGTTGCTGTTTTATTTTCTACACCTGTGGAAATGGTGTTGACTTTTGAAGTGACAAAGAGCCCCATTGCACTTACTTAATAACAAGAATAACCACAATTTGTTTGCTGTCAAAAAAAGCAAAACAAATGTGCAGCTATATGGTTAACTTCACAAAATATGGTGCTGCAATCTGTTAAGCATGAGATTCTTCCTCCAGTGTTTGATGAAGAAACTCGTTCCCATATGAGCATGAAATCTGCTCCTCTAGCATCATAAATTCATACTTGGTGGCTCTACACAGGAGGAGGGCATCCAGCCCCAGAAGAAGGACATTGTGGACATAATGAACATCCCCCTGGATGACCCTGAGGCCAACAGGGCTGCTGCTAAAATTCAGGCTGGCTTTCGTGGCCACATGGATCGTAAGAAGCTGAAACCGGAGGGCAAAATAGAAGAGGAAAAGGTGAGCAACACAGGAAATGTGTTTAACAGTAGCCAAGGGGACTTAGGTCAGTGTTGTTGAACTTTAGGATAAGAGATATAAGACAGTTAAAGAGGGCTAATCCCATCAGGTGCAACTATACTTAGGGATCTAAGGTAAGTCATGGAGAATATGGCTATTTAAGCAAAAACCAGTTTTATTCTTTTTGGAAAAAACTTTCTGAGATTAAAGTAATAGATTTGAACTGAAAGGTTTGGGGTGATGTTTAAGGGTTACATTTTAGGTGATTTATTGTCCCTTTCTTAAATTAAAAAAAAATATATCGCCACACGGCTGCCAATCGATATACAAATCAGCACGGCATTTTTCAGAAGATATTAACAATTCTCAATTTCAGCACTCGACGTGATGTCTTTCTTCCAACTAATTATAGGGTTTAAATCATTTGCAAATCAAAGCAGATTGTTTCTGTTCAGCAGCTACTTTCAGTTCACTGTTGCAGACTTTTCTTTGTGTCTGTTTGTTTGTTTTTCAGACTAACACTTCAAAAGAAACAGCAACAGAGGTGACCGTTTCCAAGTGAGTCTCATGTGATGTGCAGTCAGGAGGCGCGAGTGGAAAGGGAGAGGAGGAACGAGAGGGAAAGGACAGAGAAGAGTGATGATGATGAAATACAGCATCTTTTTTTTGTTGCTGAAGTGCTTCTGGAGTCATTTGGTTTAAGGTTTTTTTTTTGTTTTTGTTTTTTGTAGGCACAGTTGTGGTTTTGTGTCGCTGTGGAAAACTAGAAAAGAAAAGTCACGTGACTGCAGTTATCCTCGCAATAAAACTGATATTTTTTTGACATGCACTATAACAGTCTCATGGAAGCTGAACGTTTTTAAAACCAGAAATAATCAGTATTTTAAAATGAATGCTGTAGTGTAAGAAGGTTTGCAATTAATTAATGTTGCTAATGCAGTATTAAGCTTACATTTAGTTCATTCTCTTTATTTAATAGCCACACATCCTATAGAAATTTGGCATTTTCAGGGGATGTTATCAAGAAAAGGGAAAATACATTGTGGAACAAAAGCCTAAAATACCAGAAACTCATCAGCTTAGTAATGGAATCACTGTTAGATTTGCAGTGCCAAGGTTGAGGAGAAAGGGAAGAACTCATCAAAAAAAGACCACCAGCTGCAGGAAGATAAGCATAATTTCCAGATGAGTTTTACAGAGGCATCATTACATGTTCTCTTTTGAAAAGCATCGTTTTGCTCTGTCATTTCATGAGCATTTTAATTGCATAAGTTCTATTTTTACTTTTTAGAGAAAAATCATTTGAGTCCCGAATTGAAGACAAATCAAGTCGTTCAGATGAAATCTCGCACCCTAATGTCTCAAAAAAGACTGAAAACACTGACAATGAAGAGTCAGTCTACAGGTTCCGAACAGCAGCTGCACAGTCAGAGGAACCGAGTGGCACAGACAACCAAAGCGATCCAGCAGTAACTGTATTTGATCAAGTTGACAGGACGGCTAATGAAACTGTTCCAGACCAAAATATACCTCACTTTGAGTTAGAGCCCACTGACTTGTCATCATTCAGAGGGCTGTCAAATGTGGATGTGTGTGCTCTGGAGTTAATAGCATCAGAAGATGAGGAAGTTAACAAACAAGGACCAGCAGTTGCACACGAGGAGCTTGTCGATTCAGGAGAAGAGGAAAATACTGAAGTTGTAGAGCCAGTGGAAGTCATTCAGTATTCTGGCCTAGCTGATGTGGATGTGTGCGCTGCAGAGCTTGAAGGAACAGAGGGAACAATGAAAGGAGCAACTGCTGAGAATGTTACACGTGTTAGTGAAGAAAATCTGAAACACCAGCCGGAGGACATTCTTGTAAAATCGTCAGTGGCTCAAGCTGAAATCACTGAGAACAACCGAGAACAAGCAGAGGATCAGCCAGACAAAGGAAACGAGGAAAGAACAGAGACTGAAGCTTATTCTGGGGAGACTCATGAAAGTGTAGCTCATAGCAGGGGTAGCTTAGATGGTAATGTTATTCCAAAGGAGGATTCTTTGGTTGAAATTAGCTTTAAAGATGTTCCAGAAGCTCAGCAGATTAGTAAGGCTGCGGAGAAACAGCCAGAGGAACAGAGTTCAACAAATGCCTTACAGATGGACGTATTAGAAATGCGAGAGAAGGAAGAGTCAGAGGACACTACTGCAATTCCAACTGGCCACTGTGTTGCTGATACACAAGGCAGCCATAAACATGAAGCTGAAAAGGAAGTTAACAGGGCCAAATGGACAGATGACTTCAATTTAAGTGATGATGATGATGATGATGATGAAAAGGAAAAAGGTGAGGACACCAGCTCATTAAATCAGCATAGCACAGAGGCAGAAAAAGAGAACCAAGAGTATGAAACCAATCCTGCAATTGAAAATAATGAGCAGCTAAGTGAGGCCATATTTCTCAAGAGTGAAGATTCAGAAAAAGAGACAGGCTCAGATGACCCTGATTTCAAAGAAGGCCACATGACAGATGTGGTTGGAGGAGATATCGAAGAAACTCACAAGAAGGTTTACAGCAAGACAAGGGATCAGGAAATTAATGATGGTGGGGCGGAAAATAATTCATCACAAGCAACCCAGTCAAATACATCAATGGCTAGAATGGGGGCAGAGAGAGAAGTCTTTGAGGAGAGAGCGCAACATCCACCGGAGGAGAACGAGGAGAGTCGGATAACACTTGTATGGTCGCAGCCAGAGGACACAGTGGAGGAAAAAGAGGTCACATCAAAGGAAGGAGAGGAACTTGGAGAGGGGATGACTGACTCTGAAATACAAGAGAAAAGTGCCATGATGCATGAGGAGGAGAACATCACGCTCCCTCACAGTGCAGATTGGGCTGCTGATGTCCACCAAGGAGAAGAAAAGCTACCTGAGGACACCACAGTGCAAGAGAGTACTGACAAGGTAATCTTGATTCTTTTTAACACTGGGTGTTCACTCCTCCCTTTATCGTTAAAATGTGAAAGCTACTTTGCATCTTAAAGGTATTAATTAATAATTGTACACAGTAAAGACATGACCCTATTAAAAAATTAGCAATAAACTGGCAGCTAACTTCATGCCCTCCACTTTCTGTTAGCCAGCTGAGGATGAATGTTTGACACAGAGATTGCTTTAGCTAGGCTACAGTTTGTTCTGTTTCCATTCCTGTCTCAGGTAGCCTATATAAATAACCTCTGTGAGGACAAGCCTGATCAACAGAGGCCTTCATTTTCTTCTCCCTTGGTGGATCTGGGGGTGGGTGATTGAAAATACCTTCGAAATAGTTCCTTTTCTGGATGACTTATGGTAGTTTGCACTTATACTTTGAATGTCATTATCTCAGCTGAAATCTACAGGAATTTCACATTCAAAGTTAAGCGCAATCAGTCTTTTTTTCACATTTGGGCACGCGGAAGAGGCCGTCGGAGGCCTTCACTCCTGCCGCACTCCTCCTGGGAGCCTCCACTGCCTCCACAGATTGAAGCTTGATTCTCTAATCTGTCATCATAAAAGACCAACTAAACAATTTGTCTTGTGAATTAAGCCTGTAATTTTTTTTATTGCTGTCACAGTTAGCCCCGTCTGATTTGTCTGGACCAACAGGACTCCAAACACACGCGCGCGCGCGCACACACACAAAGTAGGAGTGTAGGAAGGGGTACTGACGATGTTACTATGGTAACCCCTCACCATCCTGCTCTCTTCATGTCGTCATGGAATTAATAGGAGATGGTGATGCTGATAGTTGCTAGGCACCCTCTGTATCAGTAATCTACCTTTAATAACAGTTTTAGCCGAGTGATTAAACATCAGTTTCTGTATTTTCCTACCTAGCGATGGATTTGACTTTAGCTGAAACACAGCAAAACTGTGGAGTGTATAAATGTAAATCCAGCTGCTCAAGCAGTAACCTAGCAGCTCTCCCCTGTAATGTTGGACTGTTATGCTTTTAACTGTCTATTTACAACTGCCCACAACGAAATTCCTATACATTAATCATCTCAATACTGTGTTAGATGCACTCATGAAAGCAGGATCGACTTCTTAATTCATTCCAGTGAGTATAAATATAAATACCCAGTTTGAGAAAGTTAGCTGATCGATAAAGCAGATCAGCCCAGTGAAATTAGGCGTTTGCATAACTTAGCATATTGTCTGAATGTGAATGGCAAGCAAACCAGCAGGAGTGAGTTAATGTCAGAGATATAACTCAGATAAATGGATGTTTTCTGTTTCTCCCTCTCTCTCCGTCTTGTCTCTGAGGCTGGCAGAGGAGTGTGGGCGGCCATACCAGCTGGGATCAGAGGGATGGAGAGGGCTGTTAGCTCACTCTGCCTCTAATAAATTTATAACACCTCCTAGTGTAAAATAGCCCAAGATGCTTACACAGTTTTATTTTCACACTATTTGTAGAATTTTCAAAGTCAGCATTTATTGTTTTATGGCCATCTGGTTTACATAGTAATTCCAAGTTTGTCACTTGTTTTTATTTGGGGAGTTTGTTATTGTAACACTGCAACTTGTGTGAATTTTAATGGTGCTTGGTGCATGTGGTAGTCTTTCCTAGTTTGCATCCAGGATGAATTAAGTTGTGGGAAAAACTGTCAAGCTATAAATTGCTGAGAGAGAAATAGAGCACAGTCCAGCCTGTTTCGTTTACTTCAGTCATCAGGTTGTTCTTAGTGAATGTTAAGCTCTGTTACATGTTTGTAACTGTAAAATGAACACAGTAGGTCAGAAACCCTAATGAGACTGAAAAGATGAACACATGCTGTTATGTTTGTAGGAGGTCTCTCTTTCTCTCCCTCCCTTCCTCTTCCTCTCTCAATCGCTCCCTTGCTGCCGCTCTCCCTCTCTCTCCCTCTCACTGTATGTCTCTCTCTCTCACTCTGTGCGTGAGCGGGTGTTACTGAACATACAGTGATTGTTAGTAAGAGCCAGTGAGACATCTGTATTATACCGGAGACTCGTTTAAAGAGAGCTTTTGCTTGGTCCACATAGAAATTCGGGCACAGAAGTCATAGCAGGTCATATCACCTGAAGACTGAAATCATCTCTGAGAGTAAGAAATGGACTGTCATAACGTAAGTACGAGCTTCAGATGAACTTTTTCAAAAATATTTTTCGATCTATTTTTAGGCACTGATCAGTTTTCCAGGTGGATGCATGTACAGTTATAGTTTGTTAGTTGCCAAATGTGGTTGTCCTCGGATGCACACCGCTGTGTGTGTTTTTCTTTTTGCCTTGAGTGCAGTATATGGTAGCCACTGTGGTTTCATGGTCCTCAAATAATGATCTTTTTTTCCACATAAAGGCTTGTTATAAAACTATTTCGAGCTATTTTCATCACATTAAAAGAGAATTTTCACCAGAATATTTCAAATCAATCTGAGTCAGAATAAATCAAAGAGCCCTCGAGGAACTCAATAACAGTAAGACTGAGAAGGTGTGTTGCCAGAAAAATCCAGTGCAGCAGCAACCCTGCACCTCTGCTGCTGTGAAAGATCTGGATTCGGGCTGCTCAGTGAGCAGTCAGACAGAGAGGCTAATGAATGCTGGCTGAACAGGTGGGTGGTCACACTCCTACACTGGAGGGGTTTCACTGGAGACATGATGCACTGCTTCACTGAGGTAGTGGGATGACAGTGGGATCATTCTGTGGGCTGCCTTTGTGTGAAATGTCAGTCTGTTACCATAAGCGAAGCACGGGGTGTAGCTGATATGCGTTTGCCACACGATTTGAATTGGTGTTTACATAACTCGTCGACAGCTTTGGCACTCTTCCACTGACAGTTTGTGACAAGCCAGAATTTCCACCCACCCTATGTTTCCTTTGGGACAGTGGATTCTGTACTTTTAGTGTCTGAACGAGAGGCTGCTGTGACTGCGACGCTTTCGCTGGGTCATCCTTTTGTTTTTTTTACGCTGAATGCGGCAGAATTACAAGTTTATCTTTTCTTTGAAAGGTAACTTCTAACTTCACTTAAGCTTTGCTTGATGAAACTACAGTTATCCACAAACATTAAACTACCACGCAGTCTTTTTCATCAATTTTGTGCATTGCTTTATGTTTTGTGATATGAGAGATAATGGCTTTTCCAGGCTAAACGATGAAATCAGCAGTATTATATGCTGTATGTGACAAGAGGGGAAAGAGTGAGGAAAAAGCGGGCCATTGACCTCCTAAGAGCCCCAGTGAAGTTGTGTAACAAGAATGAACAAGTTGCTTGCTGTCAAAAAAGACAGTGCAACCTATATGGTTAACTTTACAAAATATGGTCCTGCAATCTGTTATGAACATGAGATTATCCCACCAGTGTTTCATGAAGAAAAACATGAAATCTGTTCACTCATACTTTGTGGTCCTCTACACAGGAGGAGTGCAGCCGGCCCCAGGAGGAGGAGGACATAATGGACATCCCCCTGGATGATCCCGAAGCCAACAGGGCTGCTGCTAAGATTCAGGCTGGCTTTCGTGGCCACATGACTCGCAAGAAGCTGAAGCCAGAGGACAAAACAGAAGGGGAGGAGGTGAGCATCACTGGGGATGTGTTCAACAGGTCAGTGGTGTAGAATCTAGGGATAAGACTTTAAAGGTAGCCAGCCCCAAAAGGAGTGAAATAAGGTAAGAGAACAGGTAAATTTATGAGGAAAAAAATTACAGTACTCGGAAAAACAAGACTTTTTCTTTGTCACTTTGCAGATTCGTGTCAAACTTGTCACACCACACACTGCTGTAAATGACCTGATTATGTTATAGCCTAATTTGTAATCGAAATAACAAAATTTTACATTTTTGCTGTGAATTGCACAGCTTGTTCAACGGCAAAATGGCATGATGAAGGGATGAAGCCGGATCTAATCCAGTTTTTTTTTAATCGATTTTTTTTTTCTTTAATTCAAAACTTTGTCCTCCTCTTTTTTTTAGAAGGTATAATCTTGGAAATATTCAATATTATCCAAGGGGAATAAGACCTTGTAACATAACAGTGACACTAAAGTGCCATTTTAGTAAACTGTCTCTTGAGTCTTGCAGTTAAAGCAATTTAATATTCTCCAAATGATAAGCAAGCAAATTTTAGGCTTACTGTTAAATAATTTAGCACAGTTTGATGTTTTAGGGATGTTCCAAATGCTGCATAATGCAGGAACACGAGCCATTTTTTCCCCATTTACACAGCAGGAAAAGAATCAATTTAAATTGTATACATAATTAAATACAACTATTAGAGCCCTTTGAGGCTCAAACCAAGTGTGATTAATGAAATACATATCTGACTCATTTAGCAACAGATGATTGACTCTTTGAATTATTTTTTTCTACTACATGAATCTCTTTCCAGATTTACCGTGAAAGCGCCGGTGATAAAAGACTTTAATCCGAGTTCAGTTTAGTTTCAAAAATGTCAAGCTACATTGTCACAACAGATGCTTTTTTTTTTCTTTTCTTTTTTTTTGTAAGCAACTGTGGAGAAGTGTGAAGACTTGTTCTGTTTCAGCTCGAGCACACGCTGCATTTAGATGGATTTTCTGCCTTCTGCAAACCAAGATCAAAGATAAAAACAGTAAAAGTTAAACTCCCGAATCTGCACATCTGCGTTCCTTCAAATCATAGTTTGTCTTTTTAAATCTGGACCACTGGAAACTTTTTGAAGATATAAAACTTTTGAATCCTAGCTCTCAAAATGCCACTTTTTCCCCCCTGTGAGACAAAGGAGCTTTTTCTTTGGGGATGAGGTTGACACAAGGCGTCTACGTCAGTGATTCTTCCTAACCCAGTTGCTGGCTGCCTTGTATCCTTATGTAGGAGAAGTATTTATAGCTTCAGGTGCATTAGGTACACTATATGCTTTAAAGGGCCAAGCAGAATTAATGGGCCTGTCGTACTGGAACCAAGCGTCACAAGCACCTCCCACAGGGGCAGACCCCCTTTTTTACAGCTGAAGTGCTCGTCAGTTTTATCGGCCATGATAAGGAATCAAGTTCTAAGCGTTGCATTATCTCTTTAAAATTAAACATATATTTTAATCATATTTGTTATATATATTCATCGTAAGAGTCATATTTCTTGGAAATGAACCGCCCTTAAATAGAAACTCAGTTTAAAGTTTCCTTCAAGTCCTATACGGTGCATAACTGCCATGCCGGTTTCTGTTTTTAGAGACAGGAAGATCGGGGGCAGTAGAGAGAGACGACACATCTGTGCCAGAGCAGTGACACCCCTGTCCCGACCTGGATGAAGAGAAAGAGGCAAAGCAAGGTAGTGAGAGACAGCCGGCATACGCTGGCTAGGCTGGCTTTCAGGCAGACCTTTTTACCCCAGGAGTCTTTTTTCAACACAAATTAGCAGTAGAAAATGAACAGTTTTGAGGGTGTGTTATGTGAATCTTTTTTTCCCTTCTCTTTTTTTTTTGTGAACTTTAACACTCCTTCTCTGCTTCTTCAGCAGCCTCATCAGTACGGATGTCTTTGACCCAGAATTTGCAACTCACTGCATGTACTTGTGAAACTTCTGGTAGTGTGCTAGTTTTTAGACGATGATCTGTGAAAGTGAAAATGAATGTCCTCTAAATGCTAAACAGAGCTTTTTTTTTCCTTTCTTTCTTTTTTTTATGGATGGATCACTTCATATGCTCTGTGTGTAAACCTCGTACGCGTCACGTTGGGTGATTAGTGGCTTAAAAAGACTTCTTATTTTGCATTGTTTCCTGATGTGCTTGTATCTTGACAGTTATTGACCTATTTGACTTGCTTACAAGACTGATTAAAACATCAAAAGAAAAGTAGCTATGTATGTTCTATTTGTTTATCCTTTTGGTCACATGGTTAGTGAAATCGCTCTTTCCACATTTCCAAGCATTTTCTATAAATCTGATCTTCCAGAACAGTACGCATGCAGTAATTTACACTCCTCTTTATTTGTTTCTCCAGATGCATTTGGTACAGCTTTAAATAATAACACACTGGTTCAGTATGCTCTGTTGTTGTGTTGGTGGGATTTACTTGTTTGACTTCTGTTAAATCGGGTGTGTAGAAATCCTTTGTCCCTGTATGCAGAGGCTTCATGCTTAAAAAAAAAAAAAACACAAAAAAACTGAATAGTACCTTGCTGAACTTCGGTGTAGAGACGTGGCATTACACTAATAAATCCACCTTAAATATTCAGTGAGATGTCTGCTTTAAAGTGTCTGTCACCTCAGTCTTTGTCCGTGAATTAAATCCTTGATATTTTTGGTGTTTTTTGTAAACATTACAGGAGCCAAAGCAGCTCATTTTTCTGTGGAACATAAGCAAGGCTGGCAATTAAAAGCAGTTTCAGTGAAGCTGAAATAGTGTTCTAACAACAACTCTAATGAATGATTAACACAAAACTCTTTTGTACTAAAAATGTTTTTTTAGATGTTCAGATCATGTAAATCCACCAGCAGTTGCCTTGTCATAAACACTCTCTGTGTATATCCGTTTTACATTACATGCCAAAATCACAAAAGAATAACACAATTTTGCTTCATCTGCCGAGGCAGTCTTGTTCACTTTATGAGAAACAGGATAGAGCATCTTCAGTCTCCCGGTGCACCCACTCAGAACACCCACACACATCTGAGCCACACAGCGAACTGCACAAACTCTAACGGCACACACGCATTCTCAAACAGGAAAAACACGAGCCGTACTTCATCACGCAGATCCCGTTAAAGTCACTTATTGTCGCTCGCACGTCGCCAGCTGCAGAGGTGGAACAGCCAGCGCCTTTGCTTGCGGCGGTTTTTCGCAAAGGCAGAGCGCAAACACTTCCTTCTCAAGCTGACTTTCCTCCTCTCAGCCACAAATCTCATGAACATCCTCTACGGGTTTTATATGGACCTGTTCTTTCTTTTCTCCTACTCAGTCCCAGAGGTGCCATGGCCACGTTCTCCTGTCTCTTTAATGACTGTGGGTGAACAATCAATATCCTGCACACCTCCAAACATAGCACAACACCCACTTCGTGCTGTAGATTGAATTCTGAAGGTGATGGAAAAGACAGTTTTACAAAAAAAAAAAAAAAAAGAGAGAGAGACATGAGCTGGAAAATCGTGTGAGGATATTAATACATCATCATGTGAGAGCCAGATTTAAACACACTAAAGAATAATATTTTCTTCCCTTCGCAGCTTGCACTTAACTAAAGCTGACCCGGACCATTTTAAGAGTAAATCACGAGAAAGATTTGCTTGGTTAGTTCATTTTCTTCCTCAGACAGTCTGTCAGTGTGCAAAGATTTCTGGTCTCCTGGGTGATAATTAGAGAAGAATAAGCCAGGACAAACAGCAGGGGGCGTAATTATCCTCTTTCCAGTGGTTATGACTGCCCTCGCCATCTTAGGAGAGACCATGTTTTCTGAGTAGGATACACAAGTGGGCAGTGTGCAGAAAATATGAGCTTTATTTCTACATCTGCACAAATATCAGCTAATAGGAGATGTTGTTAAATGCAAGAATCCCAGATTTCAAAAGATATGAGTATCATTTGTATCATGTATGCACTGTGTTGCATCTGCATGTGTGGGGATGACATCAGTCTTAATGGGGTCTAAAAGTGACAATAGCTTCTGTTATGACACATTCAGCCAAACTAACTGAGACACACAGGCTCGGTCTGTTTCTAGTCCCCTCTTCGCTCAGCTGACTGGAAATTGTCCCCCTTGATTTAGAGCCTGTAAGAAGATGAGAGGAAATGGGAGGTGTTTCTTTTAGAGAGGGCAGAGGTGGAGGGGAGAGGTTCGACTTTGATGGCTCACTACACAGGAGTACCAGCCCTGTGAGAGTGGTAGTCAACAGCAGCTGTTCCCACAGTCCTGGAAGGTTTTTTTTGTTTTTTGTTTTTTTCTTCCTATCAACGCAGGCTTCCTCCTCTGCATAAAACATCCCTTTGTTGTCAAACAAAATGCTCCAAAAAAACTCCTGACAAAAGACTTTTAGAAGGTGGGAGAGATGATTTATAATGCAACTGACTCATCAGTGCACACAAACAAATAAAGAAAAAAAAAACAGAAAACAGACTGATCAAACATACGGGAATTTCACACATGGCAGCGTGTCTGCTGTAATAAAAAGTGACTGCCAAACTTCCCAACTGATATTAGAGCTCCATGCAAACTGGCAGTCAGAGGAAGGATCTAAAGCAACAGAACTATTGAATTTTGACTTTTGTTACATTGTCACATGTACTTTGTACCTCACATGTAAGATTCCCATTTTGATTTTCACATGCATTTGGATTTATGAAAAGTTTAGCATCACTTCCAATAATTTAGTTATCTTCTCTCTAAGCTTTGCCTCCGGCTCCTGACTTCTTCTCATATGTCACTTTGCTACTCTGGTGCAGTTTCGACTCCACCTAGAGGACAAAGCAGGTACAAAACCCTCTCTATACTTGCTCTTCGTTTGCTGCTATTACTATGAATGTCTTGTACATAGCATCGTGCACCTGACACAGTAGTGCGTAAAAACCAGAAGCAAAATACCTAAAAGGCTCTGTGTGATTGGTTTGGTGGCCAAGCAGCAAATTGTGTGTTTACTGTGAGGCTCCAGTCCAGAAAGGAGTTTGAACAATGCCACAAAAATAGGCCAAAGAGGGGGGGAAATGAGTTGTTTTTCAAACTCAGACATTTCCGAGCTTTAAGTAGATTCCAGAAGCTCTAAGGAACCTACTTAAAGCTCAGAAATGCTTCTGGCTGAATTAAGTAGTCCTTTCCAGCGTGAATTTCTTTCCAAAGTAGCTGAACTCGACATTGAATTGCTTTTTGTGTAGTTAAAAGAATATAAAAACTTTTAGAAAATAGCAGACGATCTACTAAAAGCAGAGAGTTTCTGTTAACTACTTTTTGAAAGGGAAGAGGGGAGCTCGTCTAAACTATGTGTCATGAACACACACATGCAAACACACACATACACACAGTTGGCTGTTGTTGGCAGTGAGTGGGGTGCTGTGTGGAGAGTGGGGCTCAGTGTGACCAGGCAGAGGCCAGTGTTGCAGGCAGGCAGGCGGTGGATAGAGTGTTGAGCGGCAGAGACGTGCCCAGGGTGGACAAACCATGCTCACTAAGTGGGAGAAAGACTCTGCCCAGGACACAAGATGAAGGTGGAGAGGAAACCCTCCTCTAGAGACGGCAGTTTCGCTGACATTCCTCCTCTGCTGAAGCTCCTTGGCCTCCTCGTCTTTGTCCTTTCAGGTAAGTCCAAGTCTTTGTTTGACTATTAACAGAAAAAAGAGGGTAATGATCTGCAGGCTGCTTTGCTGAAGGAATGTAAATAGTAAAATGAATGCAAATAACAGCCTGAGTGTGCCAATTCACAATAATTATCATTTAGTTCACATCTTTATTTCAGATTTATATTATTTGATAGCCTTTAAAACCCAGATCCAAGTCTTTCACACCGACTCTTTTTGAAGCAAAGTTAATCCCAGTTAATTTAGACGCTGATGCTTTTATTTTTGTCCTTGCACTTTGTGAGGTTGGCAGCATAATGGATTTGTTCTAGGGTGGTGCTCGTTATTGGGCTCCAATTTAAAGCTCAAAGGAACATGGAGAGGCCATTGAAGGCGTGCGAGGAGGGGATGTCTAGGTTAAGTGTGATGATAAAGAGTTTTGTGGAGAGCTGTTGAACTGGGCAGGGCCTTCTCCTGAGTGTGTGGGTAGTTTCAGATGAGGAAATGATGACCAAGTGTCAAAAGTTTACAGTACGGTGAGTTTGGTTTTAAAAGGTTTGGATTGATTTCTCAGCTGTACCAGTTTACCCAAAGCAGGCGAGTTTGGTGGAATCACTGAATCCTGTGTCCATCTCCAACTTCACCACTGACAAAGAATTTCTCTCTCTAACCCTCCCTCACTCTTTTCAAGGGAGGAAACTAGTCTCAACAATCATGCCCTTTGTCTTATTGCCTTGGCAACCCCTGTCAGGCAGACCAAATGGTTACCACGGCAATGAGGCGATGCCTTGCTAACTGCCTTTCTGCAAGAATGGTCGCTCTCTCTCTCGCCCTCTTTTCCCCTCTCTCTTCTCTGTCGCTCTCATAGATTGATCTCTCCATCACTGAGCCAGAACAGTAGGATGCCCCTCATGGGCCCGAAGCCACTGTTCAGACCTGCATGTGTCCAGCTACAGCTGATTTACAGGAACTCCACTGTGGACATAATGGCTTTGCTGTGTTTGGTTTCCAAGACAGGGTTTCTTAAAAAAGCTGAAATGTGGCTCACGCTATATTTCCTTATTCCAATGTCCCTGTGGGGGTGGAGGATAGCTGGGGTGCACAAATCAAAATTAGTGTATTACTTGTTCACTCCAGGAGATTATGAGGAATTCTTGAGAAGGAGGGTGGGGTTCACAGAAACAGGGTAGTAATCAAGACATGAACACTGAAGTAAAACCAGCATGTGTGTATTCAGTAAAACTAAAATGTGCCAACCTTTTGATCGTTAAGAGAGAGAAGAAAAAAGTGAAAGTTTAAAAAAAAAAACATGTCAGAAATGTTATTAAAGGATTTATTGCCCACATTTAAGTCATCGGTCATGTAAAAGCGATTCTTTTTCACATAAAAGAGCAAAAAAGGTTTCGACACTCGAGAGAAAAGCACTTGCTATCTCTATTTCAAGGCGACCTCTGCACATTTAGGTCAAATGCATTTAAATACTTACAATCTCCTCTTGTATTCTAGCGGCGTAACACGACTGCAGTGATCACAAAAGTTCCCAGTACAAATAGATGCTCTTAGACACTTTAAACTACTTCACTTTAAGAACTGCAGGTTTTACAATATTTGGCAGATTTGCATTTGCAGGTAAAATTTTAACTCAAATACATATGTATAAAATATCAGGGTGATCCAGTAGGAGAGCAGCTTTGGAGTATACCGCATAGGCGCAAATGCCAACAGCTGTGAGTTCTTGGTTTGATTTCTGGCAAAGTGGACATTGCTACATGGCACTCCCTGTAATTTAATAGGTTTTACAGCTTTAGGTACTGATAAAGAGCTTTTCCAAGGTAAATACGTAACATAGTGTGTAAAAACATTTTTACACAGGATTTTTTACAATACGAAAAAAAGGAAGAAGCAGAAATCTTTTATATGACTTAACAAAATCTTTCTGTTTTATACTTCCAGGGTAGTCTGGGCAATGAGCTGCCATTACTGTTTCTGTCATTTTGAACATTTATGACTTACTTCAAGCCTCAAATGTGACAGATATCTTACTTTTACTATAAAAGCATTTCTACATAATGTGGAAAAAGAGCTGTGCCGGTTAAACTGCACTTGTTTTTATTATATTAAGATATTTTATGGATTAAATGTGTAGTTAAATCTTCTTTACACTGACAGAATGAGGAGTTTTGCTGGTCCAGCCGACTTGAGAATAAAGTGATGGTGTATGTGGCCCACAGTGGAGAATAAGTTTCACATCCCTGCTCTAGAGAGGAAGAGGAAGCATTCATCTGTAGCTACATTTGTGATGAATGGTCTAAATTTTCTTTCTTGTTCTTCTTTTGTCGGAAATAATTCCTTGCAAAGCTGTGGCTTCAGCCTACACCTTTTTGGTTTGTCATTTTTTTCATCATTTATTTCTAGCAATATAAATGAACTGAACAGGGATAAAGATAAAGATTCAAAATGAATCAAAGGAAAACATTTGAGTAAAATACCTGTGTTGCACTGTAACTGTGTATTGCATGTGACTATTTGCGTTTGCCCAGTAGTATCATTTAGTGCATTTTTTTTTTTCATTTGTTAGCTTGTTTTGCATAATTTCCACATGTATTTCCAATCACTGGCAGAGCATCATTGCCTCACACTGTCTTTACACACCTCTATATTTGCTCATCAGTTTAAGACCTCACCATTGTGTCTTTCCCCCCTTTTTTTTTTTTTTTATAACAGGTGAGGTGTCAGGAGTGAATGTCACAAGCCAAACCCAGGTGGTGAGAGGAACGGTGGGCAAAGAAGCCCTTTTGTCAGTCAGCTACTCGAGCAGCAGCACAGACAAGCCTGTTGTTAAGTGGCAGCTAAAGAAGGACAAAGTGAAACCGATCACTGTCGTGCAGTCCATAGGGACGGACATCATTGGAAACCTGAGGCCCGAGTATCGCAACCGCATCCTGGTGTTTGAGAATGGCTCTCTGCTGCTTCACAACCTGCAGCTGTCGGATGAAGGGGTGTACGAAGTGGAAATCTCCATCACAGATGACACCTTCACTGGAGAGCGCTACATTCAGCTCACAGTGGACGGTAAGCAGAGTTACTCTCGTTTCTATAGCCAAGTTTACTCGTGTTTCAAAACATCTGAGCAACAAGAGCAGAGCACTGGAAGATGAGTTAGGACCTATAAAATTTAATACAGGTTGAAAATGAAATTTCCTGTCCAGAGAATGTCATTTCAATCTCATTCACCTCTGTATCTTCTGCCCTGTCCTTCTTCTCAGTTCCTATATCCAAGCCTTACATCCAGATGATGGCGTCTTCTGTCCTGGAGTACAGCGAGCACTTCAACCTCCACTGTTCCCACGATAATGGCACAAAGCCCGTCTACAGTTGGCTGAAGGGAGGCAAAGTGCTGACGAATGACTCGCGTCTGCTGCTTTCGCATGACCAAAAGGTGCTGACCATCTCACGGGTTCTGATGTCAGACGATGACATTTACGCCTGCACAGTGGAGAACCCCATCAGCAACACGAAGAGCAGTCCTGTCAGGCTCACTGTCTACAGTAGGTGGCAAGTTACGCTGGTAGGAACTCAAAAGACACGTGTTTACATAAAAGAGAGGGGGGTGGGGGGTATGGGTGATAACATTTAATAATAGTTGAACAGAGCTGGAAGAAGCATTAAGAAGTATTATCTATGCAGCAGTATGGCAGTGTAAAGATTTTGCATTAAGACACAAGTATACACCGGTACATGCAGTAATGTGCAAAAGTACCATTTCTCTATATTTTGCTAATAGAAGGAGAAATCAACGATTTCTTAAAATATGTCCAAACACAAAAGTGCAGAATATAAGGCAAAAACAGTACATTTCTAATTCTACTGCAACCATCTGCACCACCGTCATACAGGCTGTTGTTGATCATTTGCAGTGCTGTCCTAGTCACAAGCGGATATATTTATTTTATTTCTATCACGCACTACTGCACTACACATAGGTTGAAATTTCTCTGTTCCCTAGAGCGCCCTTCATCTTTCTTAAATCTTCTCTACAGTAAACTGAGAGAGAGAGACAGTATTTTGATTCTCCTGTACGTTGTGTACATGTCAAAAATTATTAATAAAAATCTTTGAATCTTGAATGTTTTAATCTTGAAAAAGCTTGGCAGTCAAAATTTGGTATCTTGTCATTTCTTTAATTAGTCTTCAGGAATAGTTCTCCAGGCTTCTTCGTGGACATTCAAAGCTCTTGAATGTTGGCGACCGTCTGTTGAGTTCCCTGTCAAGATGATCCCACAATAACAATAATAACCTCAATAAGATTACTCTAGAAACTCACAGTTGTACCTCTCTGCTGACTCCTTCTGTAGATACTGAGCCAAAGATGTGAAATTTGGCTTCATGACAGCCACCCTTTCCCTGCGACTCATTTCTGATGAGACTTCAGTGAACAGTAGATGGATCAGCTGAAGGGTTAGATGCATCTGTTAGGTCCTGTGTCAGGTCTTTTCTGGATGTTTTTTAATTTCTTAAAGATGTGACTTTCAGATACTGTTCATCTGCTTTAGATTGTTTGTTTGTTCAGCTTATAGCTCTAGGAATTACCTTATTGGTGCAAAAATTTTATTTAATGGCAGTCGGACTGCGTAATCTTTGGTATTTTCATAAATTTGGCAAAAAATATGGGAACAAATGATGTGTTTTTGTGACCGGCTAGTAACCTAAAGTTAGTACCTAAATACCTAAAGATGCACTTTAAAATTGGTTCCTTGCTATGTCGTCTGTTATGTGTATATACAACTGTGGTTGATTGATTGATTCAGAGATCAGTGTTAAGTGGCTTAAAAGAAGAAGAAGAAGAAAATAACATTCAGGCCAGGTCAGAGAATTGGACTAACAGTGAAAAAGCATGTAAACGTAAATGTAGCCTGTAAAACAAATAGCCTGTAAACTGCATTTATGTTGTAGCTGGTTAAACTGGAATCAGTGTAAATTCTACTTACTGCAGGGCAGCATAATCTTTAAAAATCCTTTAAATTAATTTGAATGATAGCTTTAT